TTCATAACTGAAAGATTGACAGTAGATGTTCTGCTGCAGGTTTACTGTAAACAAATTGCTGGAAACAAAAAAATAATGTGTGCAGATGTTTTCAGCTATAGCTGCAAGCTTGTGGTAAGTTTGCAGAAACAAATATGATCGAAGCAAGATTGCAGGAGACTTGAAAACATTTGAGGACGTTAGTAGCTAAATTATAGAAATATTTTATTCTTAGTACTTTAGACTTATGAAAGTATTCTTTTGTCAGCTCCACAAATACCTTAAAGTATGAAAAAACATGTTTGAAATACTCTCTTATCTGTTTGGTAGTTTTGGGGTTGTTTTAAATTTGCAAATGATGAAATCATGTAAATATTGTTTAAAGAAAAGTAATTTTAAACTTTTGTTATGTAATTAACAGAGTATTTGGCACAAAATGCATTTTAAATATATCCTGCTACTGTTTTTTTTTTAAATATTCAATCATGTTAGAACAATTCACCAAATACCAAAATGTAACATCTTGAAATGTATTTGCTTAAGTAAAGTAAAGTAAAGTAAAGTAAAGTAATCTTTATTTAAAGTCGGGTTGCATTTATACATAATAACAAGGAACATGAGCTCTTAAGAGCTCTTTTACCGACTGATATTAAATAACAAAACATACATGTAATAACATCAGATACATATACAACACAAACATACAGACAGCACAAACATGTATTAATACATAGATAGCACATGCAAAATAAAAGCTAAGCAAGATATATGTTAAAACAAATGTCAAATACTCTGACTATTTTGCAAACGATTTTGTACTTGATTTGCTGTATGTATATTTCTAGATTTTTTGCGAATTTGGTGTATAATTTGAAAAGTGATTTGTACCCACACATGACTATAATTGTAATGTATGTAGTTCCTGCAAGCTTGTACCACACACACATACACACGCAAGAGAAGGATTAATTTGCCTAAAATGGTTTGCTGCAGGTCTTAAACACAAGTCTGAATGGTGATTTTTATGGGGTTAGAATAACAGGACATTTGCAGCAAACACGCAACAGTTATAGATTATATTTTAAATTATGCTTTGATCTTCTGCAAGCTTTAATGTTTTATGCTTGTGTGCAACAGGTTTGCTGCAGATTTGCAGCAAATATTTACCGGAGCCTTTTTTAGTTGGGGATGTTTTATGAATTCAGAACGCACCCATCCATTCTGTTCCACGGTTTTTTTTTAATATTATTTCGATTGTGCTACAAAAATATCTTCTTTGAAATTTCAGTTTTGCAGTTATTACTTGCAAATGCAGTCTAAATTTTTAATTAATTAAATTTAAGACGTGATAGTTAAATTTTTTTTGGTAAAAAATACTTAGCACGTGTGAAATAATGAAAGTCAAAATATATGGTGTAAATCTTGCACTATCGTTGATATACAATTTCCGTATTTCAAATGTATATGGTATTTAAGAATGTGGATGGGAAAAAAACCTTTTACTGCCTTTTTCTTAGCCTGTTTTTTTTCAAGTTGCTATGTGTTACATACATTAACTGTATCATATTCTATTTTATCTCATTTTTCAGAATTGTCATAGAATATTATTTTAACCGTCAAATGAATGGGAAATTGTATTTCCAAAGGATGATAAAATAAAAGTTCTAAACATATTCTCCAATCTATTAGCGTTGGGTATCTTTTTTCAAAGATAGGACAAATTTAAATTCGCAATGAAATTTTTTTATGCAGGGAACTTATAGTAATTTGGTGATCATTGAACTTAACCTTGACAAGTAACTTTTGAAAATTAATATAATTGAATCAGACATGATCATAATGATAAAAAATAGTTAAATGGTCAATATGGCACTTATAAAGGATGTGGTCAATACGGCAATTATAAAGAATATGGGTTACAGCGATATTGCTTATGAATAGCTGAATAATTCAAAATATATTCTCTTTGTTTTCAATCTGCCAGATTCAAAACAAATTCAAAACACATTAAAACATAAAGTTATGAATTTATAGACACATCTTCCTGTCAGCAAATATGGTTGTTTTCTGTTTCATTCCGCACTGGAATCGTTTGATAAAGTTATCTGTGAACAGTTTTCCCTTTGTTAGTTGTTTGCATATGTTTTAAGCTATTGATAATTGATGGTCTCTCTTGAAATAAAATCTAACTGCGTCAAAAACTACCTGACGTTCTGCTGCAAAAAAAAGTTTGCAGGAAACCTGAAAATAATAAGTGCAGATGGTTTCAGCTGCAAGCTTGTGGTAAGTTTGCAGACAAAAATATGTTCATAGTAAGATTGCAGGAGACTTTGAAACACAAGGAACGAGATTGCCGAACTATTTTATCATTCAATATTTTCGCACGAATCTTACGATGACGTTTCATTTAATATGGTAAAAACATTATTACTACCTTTGAACTCAATTAGTATTACATAATGTTATTAGACAACAAAGACTGTGTCATCATATCGTGCAATGTTAATGACGTAAACAAAACTTTGCTTGTCATTATTGATTCACTTCTTACCACACTAACAACACAAAACGTTCAACTCTATTGACCGACATATTTTTCTAGTCTGAATTTGTATCGAAAGTGTTTATGCTTATGCACTTAAAGTGAAATGTAATGCTAAATTTTCAGAAACGACATTGTCATAAATAAAAAAAAATAATATTAATGAAAATTTGATAAAATTAATAATAATAATAATATCATTACCATTTTGAATAAAATGAGTTGAAGATATACGTCAATGAACCAACGGCAAAACGAGAAAATACAATCTCCAAAGAGGTATCTAGAGGACATCACGTATTTGAAATATGTGTCGTATACGTCATCGAAACTGTCGACCAGCAACGCAAAAACCAAAAAGGCATCTAGCTAAAGTATAAAATCAATATTATGTCAATATCAGAAAAGTATTAACTTTGTTTGTGTGTGATTAAGACACGGAGGAAGGGCGAGGTTTATTTTTATGACATTGGCCTTATTTTGTACATGTACTAAAGTCCTGCCTTGCCAAGTCTATGGAAGTGCGAATCGAGAAAGCCGTTTCTTATGTACAGTAGCGATATTTTGTTTTGTAAACGAGATGCTTTGAGGGAAAAACGAAGACGAATATCACATTTGTAAGAAGAAAAAAAGATTTTTCGGTAAATAATTGTTTTTATTTTTTTTTAAACAGGGACGTATTTAATAGGACAAACGTCGGTATAACTTCCGATGCACTTATACATAATTCTAAGTATGTTGTTTTTATACGAGAAAATATGCAGATTTGATTAAATGAAACCCATTTGTACGATCTTTAATTTTGAAGTGTACAAAAACTACACGTGAGGCAACCATGCAGCAAAGACAGTGGAATGCACTTTCAATGTGTTTGAATGCATTTATAGCCTTAACCGCGTGTAAAGATTGATAATGCTATGTTTTCTTGTATGAGTGTGATATTTTTGTAATAAAAAGCAATATATTTTTATTATAAAAAACTTTAAAAAATGCTATACTTTTTTCATAGAACTTCGATTTTTTTTGCATCGGAAAACAGTGACGATAATATTGCACAATGCATTTCAAACAAACAAGAATCATCGGCATTTAATCATTACAGGTTATATGGAATAAACAAATTATGATCACTGACACTGAAATTTCGTACATGATATAAGATGAGGAGATGGGGTATGATTGCGACGGACATACACTTTATCTATTATTTTACTATTGAACATATTTCAGGACATAATTTTGGTTTGTATTTAAAAGATATGTTGGCAGTTGATATCTATACTACTAAAATAACGAGGTCCAATTTGTTAGCCGGCATGACGTAAAAACGACGAATCAAAGAATTCAACTTTATATATAAATAGTATAAGACAATAGTGTTGTTTAGAAATTACACCATTTCAGGCCCTTTTGTTTTCCACATAATTAATAATACCAATAATTAACAAGTTCCGGGTCGAATCCGATACTGATACCAATAGTATATGTCACATGTAGTTTCCGTTACCTGTTGCCTTATGTAAATCCCTCCTCTATCAGGATAACCTACACTATTTAACAAGTCTGTTTTCTTTCCACCCCAATACCACAATTAAGTTTGGTTAATTAGTTAAAAAATTGATTTAGCTTATAGTAAGATCATTGTAGTAAGAAAACCAGGACGGGTTCAAACAGAAAGCAGAGAAAACTGTGCATCTTAAAATCAGCATGACAATACGAACACTAAAATTCCAGGCTAAAAATAAGGCATGGGTACTTTAATTCAGTCACGGACCCGCGATGTCGCGGGAGTGTTCTAGTATCCATATCGATATCTAGCCTTATTTTTCGTTTTACAGATGCACTTAATTCTTTTTCTTTTAGAACGACATTGAAAGGCAGAAAATGATCGATTTCAGACTTCTGTTTGTAGCTACGCGTTTAGTAATTCCGGACATAATCTATTTATGTGTTTAAAAATATTAAACATATTTTTCATTGCCGAAAACACCTTTTTTTCTCATGGAGTGTCTACATATTTATACAATTTCATGATAGAAAATAAGAAACTGGTTCTTCGATTCGCACAGTTTTCCATAGACTGATGCCGTAAAACTTTTCCAGTCCAGATTTGTCTGTTCTCATGTGTAAACTTTGCCGAAATTTATGATGAACCCTTACATACGGGAGCCATAGAAAGTGGTCTTCTGTCACACAATTATTTTGGAACGTAAACCAATGGCTTAACATTATTCAATCGACGCAGTTATCAGTAAATCGCTTGCTATCTTTTTAAAGGGGTAGCGTCATAATATTATATATGTGATTTGCATTATTTACCTTCATTGTTTTGACAAAGTTTGAACACAAAAGTCCTAGTTGCAATATTTTGATTTTGTTTGGTTTATTTTTCAATGTTCTACAGTTGAAATGGTCATGTCATTATTTTGTTTATCTTAACTGTTAATTTACATTCAAACTGTTTACTTCGTCATTGCAGAATCAATTTGTGATTTTGACAACCAGTGCTTTCTTGAATATGAAGGACAATTTCATATAAGCGAGAATGGAACTCATGGAAGATGTGACATTTGTATGATTTTGCCCAACCAAGAAGAACATATTTCAGGTAAATAAAAAAAGTCCTTTGTCAAACAGTACTGGTTTAAGTTGGTCGACGCGGAAGGATTTATTTGTCGTAACAAGTAACTTCAGCAGTGTTAAAAGTGATTGCATTGCGTTTAATATATAATTGTTAAGTACTATTAAACATCAAGACCTATAATGGAAGAGAGTACAATGGTCGTGCAGAAAATTGAACAACATTTGTAAGTAAGAATAAAAAGAGCTTTTTGATATACGATAACGAGGCCACACCCAAACGACATAGACAAACTAAATTACATTTAGAGGTCAAAATTCGTGGAAGGCCAATAGCAAGTGTCGATACCTGATTCGAACTAGCCCAAGACTGTGTTATTAACATCATCTGAAATGTCTATACATGAAAATGTTAAATCATTTTACACAACCTATTCACCGGTATCGGTACGGCATATGCAACACGCAATACAGATCAAATCCCCAAGGCATCTTGAAACGCATACAAAAGGCCATCGAGAACACAAACCATATTGTATCCGTCGGACCAGGATGTGCGTTAAGAGTTCAGGTTATTTTTACGCTTCTTCTCTCTGTATGAGCTTCCTTTATAAGGAACATCAAGGATAAATCCAAGTAGAATATGTATATATGTACACTTCAGAACTGTTTAGATGTTTTGCTTATAGTCATCATCCACGGCACAGTTAAGTACTTATTGTTTAGCACAGTTAAATAATAATCACGAAAAATTACTTCATCAGGCGGTAGCTTTCCTCGTTGAAATTATTCAAGTTACATTTTGTCATGTCGGACATTTTATTGATAACCATACGGTATGGGATTTCCTCATTGTTGAAGGCAGTACGATGACCTATAGACCTTTAATAATTATTTCTTCATTGTTGAAGGCAGTACGATGACCTATAGACCTTTAATAATTATTTCCTCATTGTTGAAGGCAGTACGATAACCTATAGACCTTTAATAATTATTTCCCCATTGTTGAAGGCAGTACGATGACCTATAGACCTTTAATAATTATTTCCCCATTGTTGAAGGCAGTACGATGACCTATAGACCTTTAATAATTATTTCCTCATTGTTGAAGACAGTACGATGACCTATAGACCTTTAATAATTATTTCCTCATTGTTGAAGGCAGTACGATAACCTATAGACCTTTAATAATTATTTCCCCATTGTTGAAGGCAGTACGATGACCTATAGACCTTTAATAATTATTTCCCCATTGTTGAAGGCAGTACGATGACCTATAGACCTTTAATAATTATTTCCCCATTGTTGAAGGCAGTACGATGACCTATAGACCTTTAATAATTATTTCCTCATTGTTGAAGGCAGTACGATGACCTATAGACCTTTAATAATTATTTCCTCATTGTTGAAGGCAGTACGATGACCTATAGACCTTTAATAATTATTTCCACATTGTTGAAGGCAGTACGATGACCTATAGACCTTTAATAATTATTTCCTCATTGTTGAAGGCAGTACGATGACCTATAGACCTTTAATAATTATTTCCTCATTGTTGAAGGCAGTACGATGACCTATAGACCTTTAATAATTATTTCCTCATTGTTGAAGGCAGTACGATAACCTATAGACCCAGTTTAATAATTATTTCCTCATTGTTGAAGGCAGTACGATGACCTATAGACCTTTAATAATTGGTTACATCCACGTCATTTGTTCTCTGGTGGATAGTTATCTCACTGGCAGTGAAACCACATCTCCTTATTTTAATACACATGGTAGATTCCTTATTTTAGACACATGGTAGAAATTTAAGTTGACTCCTTATAGAAATGTTTACCCTGTAATAACGATTTTAAACATTTTTGACGTATATGGCTATAAACTTAAAAATTGTAATAGACGAAGATTAACCATTAAATAAAAAATCTTCAGCAAGACAAAACCTTCAAATGAATAAACATAGCCGAATTCATCAGTCCGTTTTCTTTTAGCGTGTTTTTGGCTATGGTCAGCAAGAAAAGATCTAGATATAAGTCATTTTAAAAACTATAAGAGGTACATGATAACTTTAAACAGCCATAATGTTCAACAATACAATATATAAAATCGTCAATATTTTCGTATAGGAGTTAATGCGCTTCATTTATAATTTTTACCGATTTTAGCGTTTTCGGTGAAAATTATTATAAAAAAACAGAAACTGTAAAAACTAAAGTTTTGTTTTTCAATGTATCAGTTTTATGCTAAATTGCTAGGTGAGCGACACATTATCACTAGAGCCTCTTGGTTTACAAGGATGGACAATTATTTTCATGTCTGTTTTATCATATATATATTTGAAATTATTTTCATTTGAAAATGCATTAGTTACTATACCATTCATACTCGACATAATAAAAATAATGTTAACGAATTTGAATACATTTCGATATATCGTCTTTTAGTTAACAATTTTACTTGTAACCTAGTATTTTATTATTTTTTCAGGACGATATGCTCACACGATGAAAAATGAATCAAACAATTCGATGGCGTGGATGAAATCCAAAATTATATACGGCAGTTCTTATGGTTGTCAGTTAAAGATTTCTGAATGGCAGTTTACGAGGACAGTAATTATTGTTACTATAACAACGATTTCAAGGTTCCGTGTTATAAAGACACTTCTTCGTGAAAATTTCAGCCGGTATGTAAAGTAGGTAATCGTTTCCTTGGTAATATTGAATGTGTGTGAGTTCATCGTTGTTTGTGGGATAATTATTTTCATGGATTTCGTGGATTTTGGATAAACAGGAATTTAAATGTTAAATGAATACAATTTGCTTATATATTTGTTTTTAGAATTCGTCAAACCATAAAATCAAGTTTACACGAAAAGACAACTGTCCTCATTTCACGAAATCTGACACCCACGGAAATGAATCGATTCCCTGGTATGCTATCTGAATCTAAACTTTGCTTTTTGTAATAGAATGCATGATACTTCTTTATTGAGAGGTGGGGCTAATTTCACTGTATGTGTTTAACTCACAGGGTCAACATCTTTAAGTTGTTAAATCCTGCTTTAATTTGAAAATCGAAGAGTTTATATCATAAACTCAAAATTTTCGTATATATCCTTAAAATCAAAATGTTATTTGACGTTATAAATTTTCTTTACAAAATAATTGCATATGTGACATTATACTTTGAATCGCGTCTAAAAGCAAAATTAATTGATTTGTATTTAAAAGCCAATATATAGTTTTACTTTCAAAATGACTGGTTTTTAACTTATCAATTCCTTCTTACTCATTTTTGGATAAATATTCAAAAACCAAAATCTATCAAAATTATGGTTTTGAGTTCCTTTTAGGCGTTCGTAATTTGGCAATCTGTTTAATAATCCATAGTTCTGCTACAGCCTCCAAGTCCATACATGAAGGCGTCTTACTGTTTTAGATTAAAAGATTTTTTGAAAATGACCGTGGTGTGAAATAAATTCTGGTGAAATAGGTTCTATGTGAACCTCTTGATACAATATACTTGTATGATATAGCAGTCCTATGCGAACCTCTTGATACAATATACTTGAAACGATTCTTTATCTAGTGTAGCTTCTTACAATCTTACGGTCAGTTTTAATTGATGGAGGAAGCCGGAGTGGGTACAGGAACCGGGGTTGTCCGGAGGGAACCACTGACCTTCGGCATGAAAACTGACAATCCTAGTCAATCAATATAAGAGTCGAGTGCACCTGCCACGTGCGGGGTTCGAACTCACAACCTCAGTGTACCATCTTTTACATGTAAGCTTGTTGCTATTTTTTTCGTGAATTCATATATAGTTGTTGAACTGTATATTTATTTCTTTCTTGGAATATTGATATTGTTTACCTATAATCCAATCTACTTAACTAAGCATTAGAAAGCAAAGCTTTCAATCCTATTTCTTTCGAAGAAGAATTATGCATATATAAGATAGCACTTCAATAACATTTCTGTATGCTTGTTTTTGCAAGTATTACTCAGTGATAAAGTTGTGCTTAAAGGTGTGTATTGTAATCTCAAACAAGTTTAAGACTATTTTTTTCTTTGTTGTTCAAATCAAATATATAAATAAATTTAAATAATCTAAATAATCTTAAACATTTTACGGTACAAATATTATTAACAATTTATTATAATAATACATGTATGCATGAGAAAAAGAAAATATCAATATCATTGATATAAAATGGTTTCATATGTAATATCATACATCAAATTATTAGCGATACTAAAAAATAAACGCATTTACAAAAAGGATAACTATCATTAAAGATTTATGACGTAAACGATTAACAAATGTTTATCGCATACATTTCCTCTCTGATGATATGAAATATTAATGCATACAATTACTGAATACATTTTACACACCTTTTTTGAACAACTGTACATAAATCAATCCAGTAAATCCCACGAGAGAACGATTGAATAGATATCCTCAATTTGACATTAGAAATTAGTAATTCACTAATCACGATGTGTTAATGATTAAAAAACGATTCAGATTCTTGATAACATCTGAAGTCAGCAAAATTATAAACTCGATATATGTCTCCTTGAAAATTTATCATGTTGCAACTATAACAAAATGCACTATTGATCTTATTTTGAATTCTTCACAATACGTTTAGTAAGCAATTAACGAGTACGAAGGTTGAAATAACGTGTTCTAAAAAACACAGTTGTGTCAGATGTTTACTGAGATGGAACATTAATAAATTACCCTAACCTCCTAAGGAAAAAAAATAATCCCCAAAACAACAACATAAAAAAAATATATATATAACAAACACAAATAAAAAGAATTTTAAATGCTTTTCACAAGTGCTCTGGAAGGTTAATAGTTACTGCTCAACAAGTGCTCTGGACGATTAATAGTTACTGATTAACAAGTGCTCTGGAAGGTTAATAGTTACTGCTCAACAAGTTCTCTGGACGGTTAATAGTTATTGCTCAACAAGTTCTCTGGAAATTAATAGTAACTGCTCAACAAGTGACCTGGACGGTTAATAGTTACTGATCAACAAGTGACCTGGGCGGTTGACAGTTACTGATTAACAAGTGCTCTGGACGGTTAATAGTTACTGATCAACAAGTGCTCTGGACGGTTAATAGTTACTGCTCAACAAGTGCTCTGGACGGTTAACAGTTACTGCTCAACAATTTCTCTGGACGGTTAATAGTTACTGATCAACAAGTGACCTGGACGGTTAATAGTTACTGCTCAACAAGTGCTCTGGACGGTTAACAGTTACTGCTCAACAAGTGCTCTTGACGGTTAACTGTTACTGCTCAACAAGAGACCTGGACGGTTAATAGTTACTGCTCAACAAGTGCTCTGGAAGATTAATAGTTACTGCTCAACAAGAGACCTGGACGGGTTATAGTTACTGCTCAACAAGGGACCTGGACGGTTATTAGTTACTGCTCAACAAGTGATCAAAACGGTTAATATTTACTGATCAACAAGATACCTGGGCGGTTAACAGTTACTGATCAACAAGTGCTCTGGACGGTTAATAGTTACTGATCAACAAGTGACCTGGACGGTTAATAGTAACTGCTCAACAAGTGCTCTGGACAGTTAATAGTTACTGCTCAACAAGAGACCTGGATGGTTAATAGTTACTGCTAAACAAGTGCTCTGGACGGTTAACAGTTACTGCTCAACAAGTTCTCTGGACGGTTAATAGTTACTGATCAATAAGTGACCAGGACGGTTAATAGTTACTGCTCAACAAGTGCTCTGGACGGTTAATAGTTACTGCTCAACAAGAGACCTGGACGGTTATTAGTTACTGCTAAACAAGTGCTCTGGGCAGTTAACAGTTACTGCTCAACAAGTTCTCTGGACGGTTAATAGTTACTGCTCAAAAATTCTCTGGACGGTTAATAGTTACTGATCAACAAGTGACCTGGGCGGTTAATAGTTACTGCTCAACAAATGCTCTGGACGGTTAACAGTTACTGCTCAACAAGTGCTGTTGACGGTTAACAGTTACTGCTAAACAAGTGAACATGACGGTTAACAGTTACTGCTCAACAAGTTCTCTGGACGGTTAATAGTTACTGATCAACAAGTTCTCTGGACGGTTAATAGTTACTGCTCAACAACTTGTCTGGACGGTTATTAGTTACTGCTGAACAAGTGACCAGGACGGTTAATAGTTACTGATCAACAAGATACCTGGGCGGTTAACAGTTAATGATCAACAAGTGCTCTGGACGGTTAATAGTTACTGATCAACAAGTGACATGGACGGTTATTAGTTACTGCTCAACAAGTGCTCTGGAGGGTAAATAGATACTGCTAAACAAGTGCTCTGGACGGTTAATAGTTACTGCTCAAGAAGAGACCTGGACGGTTAATAGTTACTGCTAAACAAGTTCTCTGGACGGTTAATAGTTACTGCTCAATAAGTTCTCTGGACGGTTAATAGTTACTGATCAACAAGTGACCTGGGCGGTTAATAGTTACTGCTCAACAAGTGCTGTTGACGGTTAACAGTTACTGCTCAACAAGTGCTGTTGACGGTTAACAGTTACTGCTAAACAAGTGACAATGACGGTTAACAGTTACTGCTCAACAAGTGACCTGGACGGTTAATAGTTACTGCTCAACAAGTGCTCTGGACGGTTAATAGTTACTGCTCAACAAGTGCTCTTGACTGTTAACTGTTACTGATCAACAAGTGCTCTTGACGGTTAACAGTTACTGCTCAACAAGTGACCTGGACGGTTAATAGTTACTGCTTAACAAGTGCTCTGGATGGTTAACAGTTACTGCTAAACAAGTGACCTGGACGGTTAATAGTTACTGCTTAACAAGTGCTCTGGATGGTTAACAGTTACTGCTCAACAAGTGACCTGGACAGTTAACAGTTATTGCTCAACAAGTGACCTGGACGGTTAACAGTTACTGCTCAACAAGTGCTCTGGACGGTTAATAGTTACTGCTCAACAAGTGCTCTGGACGGTTAATATTTATTGATCAACGAGTGACCTGGGCGGTTAATAGTTACTGCTATACAAGAGACCTGGACGGTTAATAGATACTGCTCAACAAGTGCTCTTGACGGTTAACAGTTGCTGCTCAACAAGTGCTCTGGACGGTAAAAAGTTACTGATCAACAAGTGACCTGGGCGGTTAATAGTTACTCCTCAACAAGAGACCTGGACGGTTAATAGTTACTGCTCAACAAGTGCTCTGGACGGTTAATAGTTACTGCTCAACAAGAGACCTGGACGGTTAATAGATACTGCTCAACAAGTGCTCTGGACGGTTAATATTTATTGATGAACGAGTGACCTGGGCGGTTAATAGTTACTGCTCAACAAGAGACCTGGACGGTTAATAGATACTGCTCAACAAGTGCTCTTGACGGTTAACAGTTGCTGCTCAACAAGTGCTCTGGACGGTTAATAGTTACTGATCAACAAGTGACCTGGGCTGTTAATAGTTACTCCTCAACAAGAGACCTGGACGGTTAATAGTTACTGCTCAACAAGTGCTCTGGACGGTTTATAGTTACTGCTCAACAAGAGACCTGGATGGTTAATAGTTACTGCTAAACAAGTGCTCTGGACGGTTAACAGTTACTGCTCAACAAGTTCTCTGGACGGTTAATAGTTACTGATCAATAAGTGACCTGGACGGTTAATAGTTACTGCTCAACAAGTGCTCTGGACGGTTAATAGTTACTGCTCAACAAGAGACCTGGACGGTTTATAGTTACTGCTAAACAAGTGCTCTGGACAGTTAACAGTTACTGCTCAACAAGTTCTCTGGACGGTTAATAGTTACTGCTCAACAAGTTCTCTGGACAGTTAATAGTTACTGATCAACAAGTGCTCTGGACGGTTAATAGTTACTGCTCAACAAGTGCTGTTGACGGTTAACAGTTACTGCTAAACAAGTGAACATGACGGTTAACAGTTACTGCTCAACAAGTTCTCTGGACGGTTAATAGTTACTGATCAACAAGAGACCTGGACGGTTATTAGTTACTGCTAAACAAGTGCTCTGGGCAGTTAACAGTTACTGCTCAACAAGTTCTCTGGACGGTTAATAGTTACTGCTCAAAAATTCTCTGGACGGTTAATAGTTACTGATCAACAAGTGACCTGGGCGGTTAATAGTTACTGCTCAACAAATGCTCTGGACGGTTAACAGTTACTGCTCAACAAGTGCTGTTGACGGTTAACAGTTACTGCTAAACAAGTGAACATGACGGTTAACAGTTACTGCTCAACAAGTTCTCTGGACGGTTAATAGTTACTGATCAACAAGTTCTCTGGACGGTTAATAGTTACTGCTCAACAACTTGTCTGGACGGTTATTAGTTACTGCTGAACAAGTGACCAGGACGGTTAATAGTTACTGATCAACAAGATACCTGGGCGGTTAACAGTTAATGATCAACAAGTGCTCTGGACGGTTAATAGTTACTGATCAACAAGTGACATGGACGGTTATTAGTTACTGCTCAACAAGTGCTCTGGAGGGTAAATAGATACTGCTAAACAAGTGCTCTGGACGGTTAATAGTTACTGCTCAAGAAGAGACCTGGACGGTTAATAGTTACTGCTAAACAAGTTCTCTGGACGGTTAATAGTTACTGCTCAATAAGTTCTCTGGACGGTTAATAGTTACTGATCAACAAGTGACCTGGGCGGTTAATAGTTACTGCTCAACAAGTGCTGTTGACGGTTAACAGTTACTGCTCAACAAGTGCTGTTGACGGTTAACAGTTACTGCTAAACAAGTGACAATGACGGTTAACAGTTACTGCTCAACAAGTGACCTGGACGGTTAATAGTTACTGCTCAACAAGTGCTCTGGACGGTTAATAGTTACTGCTCAACAAGTGCTCTTGACTGTTAACTGTTACTGATCAACAAGTGCTCTTGACGGTTAACAGTTACTGCTCAACAAGTGACCTGGACGGTTAATAGTTACTGCTTAACAAGTGCTCTGGATGGTTAACAGTTACTGCTAAACAAGTGACCTGGACGGTTAATAGTTACTGCTTAACAAGTGCTCTGGATGGTTAACAGTTACTGCTCAACAAGTGACCTGGACAGTTAACAGTTATTGCTCAACAAGTGACCTGGACGGTTAACAGTTACTGCTCAACAAGTGCTCTGGACGGTTAATAGTTACTGCTCAACAAGTGCTCTGGACGGTTAATATTTATTGATCAACGAGTGACCTGGGCGGTTAATAGTTACTGCTATACAAGAGACCTGGACGGTTAATAGATACTGCTCAACAAGTGCTCTTGACGGTTAACAGTTGCTGCTCAACAAGTGCTCTGGACGGTAAAAAGTTACTGATCAACAAGTGACCTGGGCGGTTAATAGTTACTCCTCAACAAGAGACCTGGACGGTTAATAGTTACTGCTCAACAAGTGCTCTGGACGGTTAATAGTTACTGCTCAACAAGAGACCTGGACGGTTAATAGATACTGCTCAACAAGTGCTCTGGACGGTTAATATTTATTGATGAACGAGTGACCTGGGCGGTTAATAGTTACTGCTCAACAAGAGACCTGGACGGTTAATAGATACTGCTCAACAAGTGCTCTTGACGGTTAACAGTTGCTGCTCAACAAGTGCTCTGGACGGTTAATAGTTACTGATCAACAAGTGACCTGGGCTGTTAATAGTTACTCCTCAACAAGAGACCTGGACGGTTAATAGTTACTGCTCAACAAGTGCTCTGGACGGTTTATAGTTACTGCTCAACAAGAGACCTGGATGGTTAATAGTTACTGCTAAACAAGTGCTCTGGACGGTTAACAGTTACTGCTCAACAAGTTCTCTGGACGGTTAATAGTTACTGATCAATAAGTGACCTGGACGGTTAATAGTTACTGCTCAACAAGTGCTCTGGACGGTTAATAGTTACTGCTCAACAAGAGACCTGGACGGTTTATAGTTACTGCTAAACAAGTGCTCTGGACAGTTAACAGTTACTGCTCAACAAGTTCTCTGGACGGTTAATAGTTACTGCTCAACAAGTTCTCTGGACAGTTAATAGTTACTGATCAACAAGTGCTCTGGACGGTTAATAGTTACTGCTCAACAAGTGCTGTTGACGGTTAACAGTTACTGCTAAACAAGTGAACATGACGGTTAACAGTTACTGCTCAACAAGTTCTCTGGACGGTTAATAGTTACTGATCAACAAGAGACCTGGACGGTTATTAGTTACTGCTAAACAAGTGCTCTGGGCAGTTAACAGTTACTGCTCAACAAGTTCTCTGGACGGTTAATAGTTACTGCTCAAAAATTCTCTGGACGGTTAATAGTTACTGATCAACAAGTGACCTGGGCGGTTAATAGTTACTGCTCAACAAATGCTCTGGACGGTTAACAGTTACTGCTCAACAAGTGCTGTTGACGGTTAACAGTTACTGCTAAACAAGTGAACATGACGGTTAACAGTTACTGCTCAACAAGTTCTCTGGACGGTTAATAGTTACTGATCAACAAGTTCTCTGGACGGTTAATAGTTACTGCTCAACAACTTGTCTGGACGGTTATTAGTTACTGCTGAACAAGTGACCAGGACGGTTAATAGTTACTGATCAACAAGATACCTGGGCGGTTAACAGTTAATGATCAACAAGTGCTCTGGACGGTTAATAGTTACTGATCAACAAGTGACATGGACGGTTATTAGTTACTGCTCAACAAGTGCTCTGGAGGGTAAATAGATACTGCTAAACAAGTGCTCTGGACGGTTAATAGTTACTGCTCAACAAGAGACCTGGACGGTTAATAGTTACTGCTAAACAAGTTCTCTGGACGGTTAATAGTTACTGCTCAATAAGTTCTCTGGACGGTTAATAGTTACTGATCAACAAGTGACCTGGGCGGTTAATAGTTACTGCTCAACAAGTGCTGTTGACGGTTAACAGTTACTGCTCAACAAGTGCTGTTGACGGTTAACAGTTACTGCTAAACAAGTGACCATGACGGTTAACAGTTACTGCTCAACAAGTGACCTGGACGGTTAATAGTTACTGCTCAACAAGTGCTCTGGACGGTTAATAGTTACTGCTCAACAAGTGCTCTTGACTGTTAACTGTTACTGATCAACAAGTGCTCTTGACGGTTAACAGTTACTGCTCAACAAGTGACCTGGACGGTTAATAGTTACTGCTTAACAAGTGCTCTGGATGGTTAACAGTTACTGCTAAACAAGTGACCTGGACGGTTAATAGTTACTGCTTAACAAGTGCTCTGGATGGTTAACAGTTACTGCTCAACAAGTGACCTGGACAGTTAACAGTTATTGCTCAACAAGTGACCTGGACGGTTAACAGTTACTGCTCAACAATTGCTCTGGACGGTTAATAGTTACTGCTCAACAAGTGCTCTGGACGGTTAATATTTATTGATCAACGAGTGACCTGGGCGGTTAATAGTTACTGCTATACAAGAGACCTGGACGGTTAATAGATACTGCTCAACAAGTGCTCTTGACGGTTAACAGTTGCTGCTCAACAAGTGCTCTGGACGGTAAAAAGTTACTGATCAACAAGTGACCTGGGCGGTTAATAGTTACTCCTCAACAAGAGACCTGGACGGTTAATAGTTACTGCTCAACAAGTGCTCTGGACGGTTAATAGTTACTGCTCAACAAGAGACCTGGACGGTTAATAGATACTGCTCAACAAGTGCTCTGGACGGTTAATATTTATTGATGAACGAGTGACCTGGGCGGTTAATAGTTACTGCTCAACAAGAGACCTGGACGGTTAATAGATACTGCTCAACAAGTGCTCTTGACGGTTAACAGTTGCTGCTCAACACGTGCTCTGGACGGTTAATAGTTACTGATCAACAAGTGACCTGGGCTGTTAATAGTTACTCCTCAACAAGAGACCTGGACGGTTAATAGTTACTGCTCAACAAGTGCTCTGGACGGTTTATAGTTACTGCTCAACAAGAGACCTGGATGGTTAATAGTTACTGCTAAACAAGTGCTCTGGACGGTTAACAGTTACTGCTCAACAAGTTCTCTGGACGGTTAATAGTTACTGATCAATAAGTGACCTGGACGGTTAATAGTTACTGCTCAACAAGTGCTCTGGACGGTTAATAGTTACTGCTCAACAAGAGACCTGGACGGTTTATAGTTACTGCTAAACAAGTGCTCTGGACAGTTAACAGTTACTGCTCAACAAGTTCTCTGGACGGTTAATAGTTACTGCTCAACAAGTTCTCTGGACAGTTAATAGTTACTGATCAACAAGTGCTCTGGACGGTTAATAGTTACTGCTCAACAAGTGCTGTTGACGGTTAACAGTTACTGCTAAACAAGTGAACATGACGGTTAACAGTTACTGCTCAACAAGTTCTCTGGACGGTTAATAGTTACTGATCAACAAGTTCTCTGGACGGTTAATAGTTACTGCTCAACAAGTTCTCTGGACGGTTATTAGTTACAGCTCAACAAGTGACCAGGACGGTTAATAGTTACTGATCAACAAGATACCTTGGCGGTTAACAGTTACTGATCAACAAGTGCTCTGGACGGTTAATGGTTACTGATCAACAAGTGACATGGACGGTAATTAGTTACTGCTCAACAAGTGCTCTGGAGGGTAAATAGTTACTGCTAAACAAGTGCTCTGGACGGTTAATAGTGACTGCTCAACAAGTGCTCTGGACGGTTAATAGTTACTGCTAAACAAGTTCTCTGAATGGTTAATAGTTACTGCTCAATAAGTTCTCTGGACGGTTAATAGTTACTGATCAACAAGTGACCTGGGCGGTTAATAGTTACTGCTCAACAAGTGCTGTTGACGGTTAACAGTTACTGCTCAATAAGTGCTGTTGACGGTTAACAGTTACTGCTAAACAAGTGACCATGACGGTTAACAGTTACTGCTCAACAAGTGACCTGGACGGTTAATAGTTACTGCTCAACAAGTGCTCTGGACGGTTAATAGTTACTGCTCAACAAGTGCTCTTGACTGTTAACTGTTACTGATCAACAAGTGCTCTTGACGGTTAACAGTTACTGCTCAACAAGTGACCTGGACGGTTAATATTTACTGCTTAACAAGTGCTCTGGATGGTTAACAGTTGCTGCTCAACAAGTGACCTGGACGGTTAATAGTTACTGCTTAACAAGTGCTCTGGATGGTTAACAGTTACTGCTCAACAAGTGACCTGGACAGTTAACAGTTATTGCTCAACAAGTGCTCTGGACGGTTAATAGTTACTGCTCAACAAGTGCTCTGGATGGTCAATATTTACTGATCAACAAGTGACCTGGGCGGTTAATAGTTACTGCTCAACAAGAGACCTGGACGGTTAATAGATACTGCTCAACAAGTGCTCTGGACGGTTAATATTTATTGATGAACGAGTGACCTGGGCGGTTAATAGTTACTGCTCAACAAGAGACCTGGACGGTTAATAGATACTGCTCAACAAGTGCTCTTGACGGTTAACAGTTGCTGCTCAACAAGTGCTCTGGACGGTTAATAGTTACTGATCAACAAGTGACCTGGGCGGTTAATAGTTACTCCTCAACAAGAGACCTGGACGTTTAATAGTTACTTCTCAACAAGTGCTCTGGACGGTTAACAGTTACTGATCAACAAGTGACCGGGCGGTTAATAGTTACTACTCAACAAGAGACCTGGACGGTCAATAGTTACTGCACAACAAGTTCTCTTGACGGTTAATAGTTACTGCTCAACAAGTGCTCTGGACGAGTAATATTTACTGCTCAGCAGGTGGAAACCAGTAAGTTGATAACAGGAAGTAAAATTTCGTTGCATAAACACATGCAACATTTCACAAACCTTTGAAGTGAATGCTATACAATCATATTTTCCTCATTCATGTTTCAGAATCATGAACGATAAGACTTTAAAAATAGCATAATACTGAAATACTGAAATACCTTGTAGATATACTTATTGAGAAATGGAGGACATCAAATGTCTAATTTCATAAATGTGTTCTTCATGCAGTTTTTAGAATAAAAAAAACAATGAAAACCTTTTTGATTTATAGTATTATAACAGTTAAAATTACAATAAACATTTATCGATGTCAATGGATTAGTATTTTTATCATTATTTTGTTTTTATTTCTACATGTTAACAGACGCTGGAATCAATTTCTACATGTTAACAGACGCTGGAATCAAACAAGCATTGTTGTCAATAAATTAGTATTCTATCAATATTGTTTTATTTCTACATGTTAACAGACGCTGGAATCAGACAAGCATTGTTATCAATGAATTAGTATTCTATCAATATTGTTTTATTTCTACATGTTAACAGACACTGGAATCAGAAAAGCATTGTTATCAATGAATTAGTATTCTATCAATATTGTTTTATTTCTACATGTTAACAGACGCTGGAATCATACAAGCATTGTTGTTAATGTATTAGTATTCTATCAATATTGTTTTATTTCTACATGTTAACAGACGCTGGAATCAAACAAGCAGTGTTATCAATGAATTACATGTAGTATTCTATCAATATTGTTTTATTTCTACATGTTAACAGACGCTGGAATCAAACAAGCATTGTAACCAATGAATTAGTATTCTATCAATAATGTTTTATTTCTACATGTTAACAGACGCTGGAATCAGACAAGCATTTTTATCAATGAATTAGTATTCTATCAATATTGTTTTATTTCTATATGTTAACAGACGCTGGAATCAAACAAGCATTGTTGTTAATGTATTAGTATAATAATTTCTATCATTATTGTTTTATTTCTACACGTTAACAGACGATGGAATCAAACAAGCATTATGGTAGGACGGATATCTGAGCCATTTTATTTCAGTATAGGATTTAGCTCTGAATATCTTGTCGCTGTTGACGACATTAAGTTATCTAACTGTGAGACAGGTAAGAAATGTATAGTTTTAGCAATAATGTAACATTACAGTTATCGACCTAACACTTAATAACATTCTTTAATTACGTTTTTTGCTTATTATTTATTTGATATGCATATTCTTCCCTCCGATGTTGCCCGATTTATTCTTAAAAAATGATTTGATAAATTTTGATTTTTATTTGATAAATTCACAAGATTAGTCTTTAGTCGTAAACTTTACATGTAACTATAAAATTGTCATAAAAATTTGGCGTACAAAGTTATAAGCCTCAAGCTGGTATATCTGATGAGTTTTTCTTTCTATTTTTAGATATATCCCCGAAAGTCTGCGCAATAACCGAATATCAATGTCAGTCTGGGCTGTGTATAAACAATCATAGAAAATGTGACATGATCCAAGACTGTTTCTATGGAGATGACGAAGCTGAAGATTTGTGTAATGGTAATTATAACTTTTAGATTTGAAATGAATACGTTTTGGTAAGGGATTTAAAAGGGTCTAATGTTATGGACCATATCATTGTGTTCCCTTTCAAAGCAGACAGAACAAGTTTGGTACTAACAATATCATCGAAATATTGATCTGAATCATATTGAATTTGTAAAGCAAGAAACTATATAATGTGATGTAGACGGAGATCACACTGTACAACCAACCCGTATCTTTTTGTTTGAAACCCAACGGCTATGATCATGCACCACACTTGTAAAATGAAGGGTTTTTTTCTATCCCCTCCTATTTTATGTTTTTTAAAGAAGAAGGTTGTTAATTGTTTCAGTCTATTACAAATTATTGAAATAACAATAACATATTAAAAGAAAAGGTACATTTCCCAGTGTTTTATACTGTTTATTTCGTGGTTTGAACAGAAGTTTTATATCTACTTATTTCGTTTTTTCAAGCCTATATAACGTTGAAATTTTTCACTAAAACTATTAAATCTCAAAGAAAACTATAAAAATAAGAAGATGTGGTTTAATTGTCAATACGAACTCTCCACCAGAGATCAATTTACATAGAGGTTCACAATAATAGGTCATCGTACGGCCTTCGACAATAAGCAAAACGCATACCGCATAGTGAGCTATAAAAGGCCCCGAAATGCCATTATAGATAGTTTTTGTGCAATTTTCAAGATTAAAGTTGTAGCAGTTATGTTAAAGAGGCAGTATCTACGGGTTTCACCAAAACACTGGTCAACCATTTTTTGAGAGCATATAGTACATTGTGTATATAAAACACGAATGTAAGTTGTTTTGGGGCAAATCTTGAAGTTTTTTTCGCGATAATTTACTTTTGATCTAGATGTGGAATTTTTGTCGGTCCGACAAAAACTCACTTGAAAACTCGACCCATAGTGGATAAACCAAATAAATGCGCAGCAAGCGTACAAAGTTCTGTCTATTAAGAAAACATGTTTACCAAAACACCATGTAATCTTGGTAAACCGACAACTTTGACGAATTCGGCAAATGATTTGAATTTTGCAGGAACCCAATATCGGGTGGTACGTCATACTTAGCAAAATATTATTTAGAAGTTATTAAGTGTAGAACATTTGCAGAAAGGTCATATTTTGCAAAAGTATGTTTTAATAAAATAAATCATGTATTTAATTAATAAATTTATACAAAACTGGTATAAAATGTGTTTAAGGCATAGCATCAGATTTTGAGAGATGTGATTTTGATCATGGACTATGCGGTTGGAAAATACAAAATCATTCAAGTAACTGTAGATGGGAAAAAGTACAAACCTCAACCATTGTAGTTGCCAATCCAAAGTTTAAGTTTCAACCGAGAGGTATATGTTTTTTTCTTCTAATGTTTCAATTTGCACCAATAAAGCAAATATTAATATAAATGGACAGAAGTAAAGTTGACATAATTAAGTAACAGTTTCGATATTTACCATGTTTACTGTTATTCACCATTCAATTTAAAAAAAAATGTATTTAAATTTTGTTGTAAACAAACAAATGTTTTTAAATTCTTTTAAAATTCTATAGATTTCAGGAAAGAATTATTCGACAAAAATACTCTGTACTATAGCAAAGAATTATTTTTTCCCCTTGAAATATTACTTTTCGCAAAAATGAAAGCAAAATAGAAACATCAAATTTAAAATATTTTCAGTGATTTGATATTATACAAATGTTGATTTGATGCCCACAATTTTTCTTTTTTATTTACTATCTTTTTTTCAAAATTTTAGGTGAAATCTTATATATTAATGGATCTAAATGCAACGAAAAAGGAAATGTAGATCTGAAAAGTCAAATTTTTCTCTCTGATGGTAAAGGAACTTGCAAGGTCTGTATAATTGCTAATCTAATAGCTACTTTCATTCGTAATGAATAATAATTAAGTTCAACGCTAATCAATAGACCTTATCATTGTATGGGAATCCGCGATACTTCCTCCGAGATTTTGCGACACTTGAACGATGGACGTCATACAAAGATCACTTTTCTTTCATGACCACAGGCATTTTCTCTTGAGACGTCAAAACCTTAACACAATTCAAAGTAAAATTATCGTCAATGTTTTCAGTTTATGATAAGTCTCCGATGGATATTTGTCTGAATGGCAATCATACCACATTTGTTTATTTCAGTGCACAGTTCCTATGATATACAAGAAAAATGACAATTATCAACATTTGTCAGAAAACGTTTTCGGCATGTAAATTCAAAATAATACTTCTATCATATTGATAACTTTTTTTCCCAAAACAGAACATTTACTAAAGCTTTACTAGAAACTATTTGCCTATTTTGGAAACCTTGTAAATTGCCTAAAGCATTTGCCTTTGTTCCGTAAAAAGAGATTGACCTAATTATGTGCTGAACCCATGACAGAAAGTACAACGATACTGGCATTTCAAATTAAAAATCTGGATACAGTTATTTTCATTTTGTTACTGAATGTTTTAAATGCATTTGATTTCCATACCCTGCTAATGCGCTTTCCCGTTTTCCCCGCCTTTGAAAAACAAAATAGTTTGCAAATCCAAAACCAATCTCAACAGAACAGTTCAAGTCGCCTTAGCTTTTCATGATAAAAAAAAAAAATGAAATTTACAATCAATTTCAGATGCACTTCTCGTATATAATGTATATTGGTATGTTACGGGTTGATTTATGTGAAATACATAACAATGACACAGAGGATTGTTCGAGGAAGATAGGAGTTTTTGACATCCAAAGACGCTGGTTATCCAAAGGTGTTTATGTACCATTAGCAAAAACGAGGTTTGTCTCATTAAATTTATCTGAACTAAAAACTTCATTAAGAATCCCATTAATAACTTACTTTGTAAACTTAAATGCACACTAGACCATTTAGCATTCTAAAAAGAGGACAGATACGAATAGTGATTAGATTTGAGAAATGCGTTTAGATTAATAATGTTATAAAAAACTAAGTCTAAAACCTTAAAATAGATGGACATAAATTGAACATTTGATATTAAAGAAAATATGATAAAAAGTCAAGAAGACGCAGGACTGGTCTTTATACTGTGTTGTTTATGTTATTCGATGACTTACCTTTCGTAATGATGGAAAAGAAAGGATAACAGCTTTTTAACTGCTGTTCGTCATCTTAAAACGAGGCCATCAACATGGAGCAAAATTTCTCACCTGATTGTAAAAACTGCCCTTAGTATCGGTTTGAGTAGAATATTTTGCTAGAAGTCGATCTAACTATACTTTTGTATATTGAAGATTACAGCTATGGGAAATCTGGACAAATTATAAATTATTTCTGGCGAAGAAACACCGTCATAAATTGGTCGTTTAAAGAACGCTTATTTTAACCAAAAAAAATTGCATATAAATTATTCCTGTAGATAGATGACGTAGGGACACGATTTCCTCAGACTACTAGTAAGTGAATATAACTAGCAGTGATGGGAGGAACTCTATCACAATTTTAAATAGTTGTGAAATAGAGTGGAACGATACCAAAGGGACATTCAAACTCATAAGTCGAAAAATAATCTGACAACGACATGGCTAAAAAAGAAAAAGACCAACAGTACACAAAACACAACATATAAAACTAAAGATTGAGCAACACGAGTCCCACCAAAAATTGGGGGTGATCGCAGGTGCTCCGGAAGGGTAAACAGATCCTGCGCCACATGTGGCACCCGTCGTGTTGCTCATGTAAGTATAAACCCGGTGATATGTGACGTTGGCACCCTATCACAATATTAACAGTAGTGACTGGAAACCCATATCACAGATTAAAAAATAGTAACGGTTGAACCCTTATAAAAGTTTGAAAGTTTAAAAACCAAAGGTTAAGTAGTTTTTCAAGATTATAACTTCTGACTATTGCAGGTACAGAATTAGAATAAGAGGAATTATATTTGAGAACCACAAGGATTTGTATATTGGTCTTGACGCAATATATTTTGAAGGGAATTGCTTCATAAATGGTAAGTTTTTATCAATCTGTATGCAATGCATGTATATTTAATTTACAGGGATATATTTTACATGATATTTTACATGACTGGTTTATCCGTTTCGTTAAGATCATTTGAAATTACTAAATCGTAGTGGTTGTCATTCATAAAAAAAATATGATTACATACCCAGTTTAATGTATTTGTTGCTCAAAAAAGCGCATTTCAAGCTTCGTGTATTAGACCTTGGAGAGTAGTAACTTTATACAGAAGAAAACATTACAAACAACTACATTATATAGTGCTTTTAGATAGCTCACCTGGCCTTAAAGGCCAAGTGAGCTTTTCTCATCACTCGTCGTCGTCCGTCGTCGTCCGTTAACTTTTACAAAAATCTTCTCCTCTGAAACTACTGGGCCAAATTTAACCAAACTTGGCCACAATCATTACTAGGGTATCTAGTTTAAAAAATGTGTCCGATGACCCAAATCGCATGGCCGCCATGGCTAAAAATGGAACATAGGGGTAAAATGTAGATTTTGGCTTATATCTCTAAAACCAAAGCATTTAGAGCAAATCTGACATCAGGTAAAATTGTTCATCAGGTCAAGATCTATCTGCCCTGAAATTTTCAGACGAATCAGACAACCCGTTGTTGGGTTGCTGCCCCTGAATTGGTAGTTTTAAGAAAATTTTGCTGTTTTGGGTTATTATCTTGAATATCATTATAGATAGAGATAAACTGTAAATAGCAATAATGTTCAACAAAGTAAGATCTACAAATAAGTCAATATGATCCCTTAAGGAGTTATTGCCCTTTATAGTCAATTTTTCGTAAGTTTTTGTAATCTTTTACAAAAATCTTCGCCTCTAAAACTACAGAGACAAATTTAACCAAACTTGGCCACAAACATCATTAGGGTATATAGTTTAAAAAATGTGTCCGATGACCCCGCCTGACAACCAACATAGCCGACATGGCTAAAAATAGAAAATACGGATAAAATGCAGTTTTTGGCTTATATCTCTGAAACTAAAGCTTAAGAGCAAATCTGACATAGGTAAAAATGTTCATCAGGTTAATATCTATCTGCTCTGAAATTTTCAGACAAATCAGACAACCTGTTGTTGGGTTGCTGCCCCTGAATTGGTAATTTTAAGGAAATTTTGAAGTTTTTGGTTATTATCTTAAATATTATTATAGATAGAGATAAACTGTAAACAGCAATAATGTTCAGCAAATTACGATCTACAAATAAGACATATGACCAAAATTGTCAATTGACCCCTTGAGGAGTTATTGCCCTTGATAGTCAATTTTTAACAATTTTTCTTAAATTTTGTAATCTTTTACAAAAATTTTCTCCACTTAATCTACAGGGCCAAATAGAATTAAACATAGCCACAATTTTCAATAGGGTATTTTGATTAAAAATATATATCCGATGACCCTGCCCTTCCAACCAACATGGCCGTCATGGTTAAAAATAAAACATAGGAGTTTACTATAGAAGTCTATGGGAAAATTGTAAAACAAACAATTTCAAATGGTCACAGCTTAATTTAAATAATGATAAGGGGTCTTCAGTAACTATTGTAAGACAAACATGGGATGACCTGCTTTTAATTTAACTACTGGGCCAAATTAAACCAAACTTGGCCTCAATCATTATTAGGGTATCTAATACTATTTATTATGATATTAACCTTATTTTACATGATTTCCAAAACCACAGTAGATACAGGTGAGCGACACAGGCTCTTGAGAGCCTCTAGTTTTATGTAGTTTGGTTTTGCCCGACTACAGTGTCAGTCATAAGATTTCAACATCGTAACAGTAACTTGCAATTTATTGTAAACAATAAAAAAAAAACCAACATGTGTTATATATATTAAGTTCATTTGTTGGTGGCCAACTAAATACTGTCTTCGAACCATGTGTAATTTCTTCACATTTGTCATCTGTTACCTTATTTAACCTCCAGGAAATAATCAGCCGGGTGACATATACTGACCGCTTTTAAATGCTAAGTTCTCTCACAAAATTTCAATCATAGTTATGCAATTGTACTAAAATTTAGTTTGCAACTCTTTTTTTCTAGTCCAAGTTGTCTGCTTTAACTGTTTTGATTCGCTACCAAGGTATCTATGATGAGTTTTATCATCAGTTTTTTCTATACACCTTTTTATTTTGATGCTTTCCAATGTTGTACTATATATATTTAGCATCCTACAATTTTGGTCTCGGATCAAATAAAGATTGATCCAAAAATACGGCGATGGATATCATAGGTCTATATTCCTCTTTCCCTTATAAGGAGGGGACTAATATAATTTGAGAGAATTAATGCACACTTGGGTTCCTAATACTCAATCTATGATTTTCTGTGGAATGGTTTGTGGCCTCTTATTTATCTCTTCGGTTTTTTTTTTACAATGTGTCATGGTGTTGTTTGTAATTTATATTTTTTAACTCTTCTTGGTATCGTTTCCTTTTTCTGTGAATATAAATAAGAAGAAGTGGTATGAGTAGAGTTCATTATGGAATATATTTCTAATATGAACATTTTTTTTTTATTTTCACAGAACCATCAGAAATCCCCAAAAAGGACAACACTATAGTAATAGCAGTTTCAATATTAGCCGGAATTTTGGGAATATGTCTTATATTAATTATACTAAAAGGTTTGTTATTTGATATTATGACACTTCAATTAAATGGGTAACTCTTACACATTGGTAGTATGCTCTAATTCTTCTCAATCTTAAAAGAACATTAGAAGATCACTCTACATGTTGACATTGAAGAAAGGAAGGAAGACACCATAGGCAATCATAAGGTAAACTAACAATCATTTCTAGTTATATACCTAGAGGGGGTTATTTCTAGTTATATACCTAGGGGGAGTTATTTCTAGTTATATACCTAGAGGGTGTTATTTCTAGTTATATACCTACAGGGAGTTATTTCTAGTTATGTACCTAGAGGGTGTTATTTCTAGTTATATACCTAGAGGGGGTTATTTCTAGTTATATACCTAGAGGGAGTTATTTCTAGTTATATACCTACAGGGAGTTATTTCTAGTTATATACCTAGAGGGTGTTATTTCTAGTTTTATACCTAGAGGGGGTTATTTCTAGTTATATACCTAGAGGGAGTTATTTCTAGTTATATACCTACAGGGTGTTATTTCTAGTTATATACCTACAGGGAGTTATTTCTAGTTATATACCTACAGGGTGTTATTTCTAGTTATATACTAGTACCTAGAGGGAGTTATTTCTAGTTATATACCTATAGGAGTTATATACCTATAGGGAGTTATATACCTAGAGGGAGTTATTTCTAGTTATATACCTATAGGGAGTTATTTCTAGTTATATACCTAGAGGGGGTTATTTCTAGTTATATACCTAGTGGGGGTTATTTCTAGTTATATACCTAGAGGGGGTTATTTCTAGTTATTTACCTAGAGGGAGTTATTTCTAGTTATTTACCTAGAGGGGGTTATTTCTAGTTATATACCTAAGGGGGTTATTTCTAGTTATATACCTAGAGGGGGTTATTTCTAGTTATTTACCTAGAGGGAGATATTTCTAGTTATTTACCTAGAGGGAGTTATTTCTAGTTATGTACCTAGAGGGAGTTATTTCTAGTTATGTACCTAGAGGGAGTTATTTCTAGTTATGTACCTAGAGGGAGTTATTTCTAGCTATATGCCTAGAGGGAGTTACTTCTAGTTATATACCTAGAGGGAGTTATTTCTAGCTATATACCTAGAGGGAGTTATTTCTAGCTATATACCTAGAGGGAGTTATTTCTAGTTATATACCTAGGGGGAGTTATTTCTAGTTATATACCTAGAGGGAGTTATTTATAGTTATGTACCTAGGGGGAGTTATTTCTTGTTATATACCTATAGGGAGTTATTTCTAGTTATATATCTAGAGGGAGTTATTTCTAGTTATGTACCTAGAGGGAGTTATTTCTAGTTATGTACCTATAGGAAGCTATTTACCTAGAGGGTGTTATTTCTAGTTATTTACCTATAGGGAGCTATTTCTAGTTATATACCTAGAGGGAGTTATTTCTAGTTATATACCTATAGGGAGTTATTTCTAGTTATATACCTAGAGGGAGTTATTTCTAGTTATATACCTAGAGGGAGTTATTTCTAGTTATATACCTAGAGGGAGTTATTTCTAGTTATATACCTAGAGGGAAATTATTTCTAATTATATACCTATAGGGAGTTATTTCAGGTTATATACCTAGAGGGAGTTATTTCTAGTTATATACCTAGAGGGAAATTATTTCTAGTTATATACCTAGAGGGAGTTATTTCAGGTTATATACCTAGAGGGAGTTATTTCTAGTTATATACCTAGAGGGAAATTATTTCTAGTTATATACCTAGAGGGAGTTATTTCTAGTTATATACCTATAGGGAGTTATTTCTAGTTAAATACCTAGAGGGTGTTAATTCTAGTTATATACCTAGAGGGAGTTATTTGTAGTTATATACCTAGAGGGAGTTATTTCTAGTTATATACCTAGAGGGAAATTATTTCTAGTTATATACCTAGAGGGAGTTATTTCTAGTTAAATACCTAGAGGGTGTTATTTCTAGTTATATACCTAAAGGGTGTTAATTTTAGTAATATACCTAGAGGGAGTTATTTCTAGTTATATACCTAGAGGGAGTTATTTCAGGTTATATACCTAGAGGGTGTTATTTCTAGTTATATACCTAGAGGGAGTCATTTCTAGTTATAAACCTATAGGGATTTTTTTCTAGTTATATACCTAGATGGTGTTATTTCTAGTTATATACCTAGAGGGTGTTATTTCTAGTTATATACCTAGAGGGAGTTATTTCTAGTTATATACCTAGAGGGAGTTATTTCTAGTTATATACCTAGAGGTAGTTATTTCTAGTTATATACCTAGAGGGTGTTATTTCTAGTTATATACCTATAGGGAGTTATTTCTAGTTATATACCTAGAGGGAGTTATTTCAGGTTATATACCTAGTGGGAGATATTTCTAGTTATATACCTATACTATAGGGAGTTATTTCTAGTTATATACCTAGAGGGTGTTATTTCTAGTTATATACCTAGAGGGAGTTATTTCAGGTTATATACCTAGAGGGAGTTATTTCTAGTTATATACCTACAGGGAAATTATTTCTAGTTATATACCTAGAGGGAGTTATTTCTAGTTAAATACCTAGAGGGTGTTATTTCTAGTTATATACATAAAGGGTGTTAATTTTAGTTATATACCTAGAGGGGGTTATTTCTAGTTATATACCTAGAGGGGGTATATACCTAGAGGGTGTTATTTCTAGTTATGTACCTAGAGGAAGTTATTTCTAGTTATGTACCTAGAGGGAGTTATTTCTAGTTATATACCTAGAGGGAGTTATTTCTAGTTATATACCTAGAGGGTGTTATTTCTAGTTATATACCTAGAGGAAGTTATTTCTAGTTATGTACCTAGAGGGAGTTATTTCTAGTTATATACCTTTGTGGAGTTATTTCTAGTTATATACTTATAGGGAGTTATTTCTAGTTAGTTATATCTAGTTATATACCTATAGGGAGTTATTTATAGATATATAACTATAGGGAGTTATTTTCTTTCAGAACCATAGGTCTTTCTTTTGAAGAATCAACCCGGATGATACCAAGTTTCATTGAAATTTGCTTCAAGGCATTAACTAATGACTTGTGTAAGGTCATTATTTTTCCTGATTAAAATGCTATATAGATATAAGAAGATGTGGTATGAGTGCCAATGAGACAACTCTCCATCCAAGTCACAATTTGTAAAAGTAATCCATTATAGGTCAAAGTACGGCCTTCAACACGGAGCCTTGGCTAACACCGAACAGCAAGCTATAATTAACTTAAACATTTAATTCGTTTTTAGTGATCGTGTATTGTTGTCAATTGGGATTTACTTTTTAATATCTTTGATAGGTTCAAGGCAGAAACAATCCTTTTCTCCTTTTGTTAGACTGAAATATCAAAAATCGTCGTTGACCCACATATACATAATGCAAAGTTTTGTTAATTTATTGCGATATTAAATCCAGATTTTCAATTCTGATACCCCGAGGAGTGTTATACGACAAGAAAAACCTTAAAATATGCATTATCTATAACTTAGATTAACTAGATATTAAAATTGGTTTGAATTATATCATGCATAATGATATATGATCAAAGAATGTATTACGTTTACATCTAGTAGTTTATATTTAAAACGTAATAAATCAGGTCTAGAATAATTTATGAATTACTCAAATAAAGAGGTTCTTAAAAGTGGGGCTACAGTGGTGTAGAGAAAACATACGTATGTTTAACAGGGTGGCCTCGTAAAAGGCGGAAGTAGTAACTCCCGGAGAATAGGCGTCATGGATCGGTGAATGTCCATACTGTATACTCAAGAAATAGGCTCATGGATTGGTGAATGTCCATATTTTATACTCAAGAACTAGGCGTCATGGATCGATGAATGTCCATACTGTATACTCAAGTCATCTTTGGGATGACTGTATTTAAATAGCTCTGAATGTAATGCAGGACTATAAATGATATTTGTCACATCATATTAGTGCTTATAAAGCCAGCATATGACAGTAAAATAAGTGTAAGTGATAAGATTGAAAATGTGAATAAAAACAAATGATTATCAAGTCCTCATTCAAAAGAGCATCCTCTGTATTTTCTGTATATCCGATTCTTAGTTTTATTTGGAGACGTAAAACATACATAAATTTCACATCTATTAAAATTTGGCCTATGTAATTTAATGCTGTTATCATTTATAAAACAACACCCAAGTACAAGCAAAACAAATTTTATTTCCAACAAAATTTATGAAAAACAATAATAAGCGAATATGGAAATGTTATAACGAAGTTTTTTTAATTATTGCAAGTAAGTGTAAAGTAAGATAAGATTTTGAAAAATTAAATAAAAGAAGAATGTGTCTGAGGACACGAATGCCCCCAATCAGGCTTTGAAAGTTATAAAGAGGTATAACTCTAGAACGGTAAGTGACTCACTGCCCAAATTCGAACTCTGTCTGCGTGTTGTAGTTCTGAGCATTGTGTATGAGTTTCATAAAATTTGCATGAGGAAAACTTTAGTGAGGTGCGGAAACGAAAAAAAAAATGCAATTTTCCAAGATATAAAAGGGCATAACTCTAGAACGGTAAATGACTCACTGCCCAAATTCGAACTCTGTCTGCAAGTTTTAAACAGTTCCTAGCATTGTGTATAGGTTTCATAAAATTTGGATGAGTAAAACTTAAGAGAGAGTGCGGAAACTAAAATGGCACGGACGGAAGGACGGACAGATGGAAAGATGGACAGACAGAATGACAAACGGAAGGACGGAAGGACGTTTCAGGGCAACACTGAATGCCCCTCAATTGCCTATGAAATCGCATCAGTTCAAAAACACAGAAAGACCACATTAATATAACAAGATGTGGTATGATTGTCAATGGTACAACTTTTAACAACAATTCCTAAGGACAATGCTGAAAACTACTACAAGTCACCATACTGTCATCAAAACCCATACTGTACTGAAACTATAAAAGGTTCCGGATAAGAAATGTAAAATAATAGAACAGAGTAAATTAACGGCTTGATTTAATTTAATGACATAAAACGAAAACAATTATTACAGATGGGAATCAACGAAAACCCAAACCGGACACATGAAGAATATTTTGAGTTTCTTGACAGGGCCAGCATCTCCCGTGATGCCTGCACCAAACGTCATGTGATTTGTTGTCGGAATACTGTTTATTTCATGTTTCTACCATGTGATTTGTAGTCGCAATACTGTTTATTTCATGTTTCTACCATGTGATTTGTAGTCCAAATACTGTTTATTTCATGTTTCTACCATGTGATTCGTAGTCGAAATACTGTTTATTTCATGTTTCTACCATGTGATTCGTAGTCGAAATACTGTTTATTTCATGTTTCTACCATGTGATTCGTAGTCGAAATACTGTTTATTTCATGTTTCTACCATGTGATTCGTAGTCGAAATACTGTTTATTTCATGTTCCTACTTCTTTATTATTTCAGTTAGGCAGATGAGTCATAACGAAAAATCAATGAAATGTGGAATACCTCTCTTTTGTGCATCGATGAGATCAGATGAATCGCTTGACACAATGTCTTCATTCATTGGTGGAAACAGTGTTACATCTCCACTTTATACATCTATAGAGGAGGATGAACAAGTTCAAAGCGATATTCACAGTATCGCCAGGCATAAATTAACTGTTCAGAGGTCTGTTTAATAAATGTCTTTTTATGTTGTCAAACTTGTACGGTTTGTTATTTCACACGATACCTTAATACATGCAATAACGCTGTGCTTATTATACCCTTAATATCGTATATGTATCTCGTGTTATGGGAAGTTGAAAGTGATTGACCACCAATGCAACATCATGTTTCTTATTCACAACAGAAGTAGTTTAAGCGATATAGATTTTAAAAAGTGAATAGAGATAAAAAATAGCAATTCTTATAACAAACCGTACAGGAATATATATATATATATTCTTTTTTTATACTCTATATATATGTTACACTGACTTTCTGTATTCTATATTCTCTGTTGTAAGTAACTCTTTGCTTGACAGTTATTACAAACATTGCTTATTCATTTTCTCAATGTCTTTCGTTTTATTAGTATGATTATTAAACTTACAATGCAAGAACTATGTGTTTTGTATATTCGCTATTGTATTTGGTATCCCTGTGTCATTGGCGTGAATAAAAGAAGGCGAAGTGTACATTTCAATGAGACAGTAACTCGACGACAAAAATACACCATAAGAAATTTGAGGGTAACATACAAGTGATATCAATCAGCCTGAATGAAGACGTCATATTACATCAGATAGTGAACTCCATCTTCATCTAAACTACAAAATAAAACTTATAAGAAGTAAAATCATGATTCCTGATTTTATACAAATAAAGTAAATTTAGCACTTCATTGAACATTAACGTACAACTTATTCAGTAAAAAGCCATACACAAACAATACAACTATTCTGCAAAAAGAGACGCTGAATTAATGAAATCAGAAAAGTTATCAACAATAGATAAAGAAATCAGAAGAAATCATGTTTCTGTCCCTAAAATTACTCTAGGAATAATTAAAGTAATATTTTATGAAATATAAACAGCGATATGTTTCCTTTGTTGATAATGATTCCTCAATAGCAACTGGATAACAGTGTTACAATGATTAACCAATCAGAATGATCACAGATCAATCCCAACTGTCAAACAGTAGACCATTAAAAACGCGTGACAATCCAAATAAAATAAAGTTGATAAACTGCTGTTAACGCCCTTTGTCAAATTATAACATGCATATCAGGGCTGATATGCATAAAACTACTTGAGATAAGATTTGTTCCGAACGGACGGATTTTTCAACATGTCCTACGATAAATAAGTACTACTGTCACGAAATAGAAGTTCCTTCATAATATAAGTTCCAAATGGAAAAAATATTCTGGAATATTATTTCCACAGGAATAAGTATTATAGTTTATGTTCCTAACGGAATAAATAGTATAGAATATTTGTTCCAACAGGAACAGGTATTATGACATTGTTTATAACAAAGTTTCCACTGGAACTTCTGTTAGGCGGAACAAATATACGATTGAATATCTTAACTCATATCAGCCCAGGACTATAAATTGTTACATTAATAGGAATATGAAGACATTACTGTATTAGAGAAACATGCTGAGCTTTACAGTCCGCAATAAGTTTATTATAATGTTAACGTTCCCGGAGACATCTATTTTACTCTGAGTCGATTAGGCTTTGCTCTCACTCTTACTTTGAAAATGCCGAGTTAGCAGAATGTCAGCAAATAGTAATTTTAAAGTCTTTAATGTAATCTGGTGGGTGATCGAACCAAAGAGCACATACACTCGAGCCGAGCAAGCATCTGATAGACAGTTAAGGCAGTCATTTGTTATTATAGATGGATCAGTAAAACTATTGTATTGAGATAAAATACATAATACCCACAAGGAAAATCAAGGCGCGTAGGAGTTTAAAAAAAAAAACAATCGTTAAACAAACGTAAATGTTTAAACTTTAAAGTAATGCTAAAAAAAACCAATTAAGTATTAGAATATACGGCCTTCTTGTATGTCAAATATTAATGCAATATTGCATTGATCTTTAAACAGATATAATTCAAAACCCATTAAGTCATATCATTCTACCGGAAACTATTATTGTTTTGCTATATTACCATAGCAACATTTGAAAGTTACTTTGAGCTGGCGTGATGTACATTATATGTTAATATTGAAATGTTATATTTCTAATGTCAATCACCATATGTACATGTTCGTTCATCAAGGACTGGTCATTTCCTTTCATTGGGGGGACCTGGGAAGAAACATTAGAATTTCTCTTATTACTAAAGTCCCGACCTTGAAGATGGAAAATAAAATCCAACCCCCGTTCCAAAGTCATTAAAATTTCAACCAACCCCCTCCCCAAACTTTACTTTTATTTTTTTATCACAAAATAAGCATGCATACCATTTCTATTTATATTATTATTGTTCAATAAAGTAATGCATCAGTAGTGGATCTAGAGCTGCAAGTGGGGAAGTTGTTTGTGACTTCACAGAACTCTATTTGGATATGCATGTTATGGTCTCATTGACATTTTTATTCGAGCTTCACTCACTGATGAGTCTTTTGTAGACGAAACGCGTGTCTGGCGTACTAAATTTTAATCCGTGGACATGTACAATGTAGCAATGATGAGTTTACTTACCACACCTTCTTCCAACTTCAGCAAGTTGTTCATATCCTTTATTGAAGAAGATAGTAAATCAACTTCAGATAAGAAACACTAAAACACTAATCAGGAAGAACACGTGCCAAAAAATAATGTCTTTTGTGTAGGGTGAAGAGGTGGGTTTGGGTAGCCTGAGTTCTAAAATTTCAATTCCCAAAATTTTCTAGGCCCCCTTATTTTCTTCCCAGACCTCCCTTCAGGTTACAAATGACCGTTCCCTTAATATCATATTATCATAAGATCACAAAAAGTGTCCACAATTCTCTATATTACACAATATCCACAGTAAATTGAATCAGTGCAAGTGTGGAAAATCTCCTTATTTTAATAAAGAAATATTCAAAAAGTTTAGACACTGTTGGAATAGACTGTACCAAATCTTTAAAATCTTTATATAACTTCTTTGACTTTTCGAGAATCAAAACAAAAGATCCTGCTTGTTAGGTCCGTGTTACACTTTTTAATTCAAAATTTTAAAAAGTTTTGAAATTTTAGATTTTTGAAATTTCGATCAAAGTTTTAAAATATCAAAATTCCAAATTTTTGAAAAATTTAACCAAATAATTAAAATTTTAAAATTCTAAATATCGTTTTTAAATTTGATAGTTTAGATATTTGAACAAACTTTTAAAGTACTTAACTTAACGTGCAGTTTTGATTATTTCGCTTTTGAAAGTTTGAATTTTTAAATTTTTGATTAAGATATCAAAAATAGAAAAGGTTCGAAACGAGGGGTACCTGTAAACTGCGAAACGGAATAAAAGCGGAACGAAACGAAACGAAACAAAACGAAAAGAAACGAAACAAAATGAAATGAACAGTTACTGTTACCTAAAAGTTAATGTATAAAATATAACCAGAGGTAGGCAGTTGTAAGCGGTTTGAAATTGGATAACAAAATAAATATTTCTCCAAAGCGGAGAATTCAGTTTAAAACAAGAAACACGGCTCTGATTATGATAATTCTTAGTTAGGAATAAAAAGCATGAAATATATCAAATCATTTTTAATTGCAAAAATAATTTAAAGAAGAAGTCGGTTTTTTATAAAACAAATTGGACATCACACGAGATAACAGTATCTTGAAATTTTTAAGGTTTTGCATCTATTGAAAAAAAAATTATTTAAACCTATTCAAACCGGCATCAAACAATTAAAAAAATCTCTAATATTAGCTAAAGCGTTTTAGATAAATAATTCAGAACTATTTGATTTCCCCAGCGCCCATTATTTAGGAGTACATGTAACAGTGAAAACTGACCAACTCGCAGTAGGCCAAATAGTATGGTAGGATTAATTATGTTTATATTTTCTGCTGTACTTTAGGCAATGAAATGGCTCAAAACACGTGTATTCCCTCAAAGATTTCTTTTTTTTGCTCTAAGACTTCTTACTATCTGCAATCATGTCGGCAGATGAAATCATTAAATGTACATTTTGAACGATCATCTCAGTTAACATTTTATCAATTATATCGGTTGTTTTAAATTGTTGGCGTTCAAATATTCGGCTTTTAGCCTTCCTGATGAAGGTAGATCCTGAAAAGCTCTTCGGTCGCATGCAATTTTTAACGTTTGGTTTCCATTTTTTATCGATTGCATGACGATCATATATTGCATTTTATCATTGATTTCAGTTCAAAGTATTGATACGGAAGGAATACTGAATTTATGGTGTCACAATGAACGTTGTGCTAGCCACGAATGTGGGAGGTTGTTGATATCTATTTTACACTGCTACCTGCTACACACGCTGAATTTAAGAGTAAGATCAAATATTAGTACATGTAGCTTGGAGGCTAAATACATTCATACCGTATAAACGTATACCATTAACATTAGTTTAAGCCTGCATATTTATGTAACAGTTGTCGCTGTACATTAAGCGCCCATCTATCAATTTGTAGCTGTCGGCATTTTGAAATGGTAATTTGAAATAATTTTAAAAAGTTCATATCAACGATAAACATATGATCAAGTTGAAGTGACCAATCGAGATGGTAATCTATTTGTGAATCGGAAATATAAATATTGTCACTAATGTGACACTATATTTGACTTGGATACCTCCACGAGGGGCTTCAATAATGGTACATTTTTCAGGTGCGGATCCATGAATTGAACATGTGGGGGCATAGTTAGACAACGTTAGGACCGATGCTTGTAAAAATGATATGCATTTATTATATATGTAGCTCCGTTAGGGGTCGGCGGCCCCCTAAATCCGCCTCTGTTTTTGAATAGCGACTAAAAGGAAACGGGATATTTTTGTATCAAGGGATAGTTCCGTATATGTTATTTGCGCATTTTTAAGTTATCGTACGGCAATCAACTTTGAGCAAAGTACAAGTACGCAGCTACGTCCAGTCAGAATGGGGCGTGTAAAGTGAGTGCCACGCTCTCTGCACGATGGATTTTGCCATTTTGGCCACACACCAATGTTGCTCTCGAAAAACCAGGACAATGTAAAACGCTGAATTTTAAGTAAAGCATTTACCTACGGAACGCTGAAAACTGAATATTTGAAAGTCAAGTAAATATAAGAACCGAAACAGTTGAAGATGTGGAAGAAAGGAAAGTTAAACATATAAGGGATACTTTGCCCGAGGGAGTTGAAACCCAAGTTTCTTTGTAATTTGTATATAAACGACCTATTTTAAATGATTGATTGTTGGTTGCTAGTGGCAAATATTTTATGCATGTTCAGGACGATAACAAATTAACAATAAATACAATAGGTAGGTCCTGTAAGTCTGCAAATTTAGATGCCACTGGAAAATGAGGGTGTATTGGATAGGGACAGAAATGTTGCCTTGCAACAAACCAACGAGTTACTGCAGGGGTTCTTAAGGTGTAGAGAGCTTTGCACTCTTTTTACACGCTTCATTCTGACTAGACTTCGCTGCGTACTTGTACTTTTAAAATTTCAATTTTCAAAATGCCGTCACCTACAAATGGATAGATGGGCGCTTAATGTACAGCGGCAACTATTACATAAATATGCAGGCTGAAAATAATGTTTATGGTATACGTTTATATAATATGAATGTATTCAGCTTTTACAAAACCAGAACGATGAATTGATTAAAGGTTAAAGATGATCGATCAAAATGTACATTCAATGATTTCATCTGCCAACATGATTGCAGATAGTAAGGAGTCGTATAGCAAAACAATAGAATTTGAAATCAAATTTGAGATAATACACGTGTATTGAGCCATTTTATTGGTACAGTAGAAATATATAATACTCAACCCTACCATACTATTTGGCCTACTGCGAGTTGGTCAGTTTTCACTGTTACTCCTAATTGATGGGCGCTGGGAAAACCAAATAGTTCTGAATTATTCGTTTCGTTCCGCTTTTATTCCGTTTCGCAGTTTACAGGTACCCCTCTTTTCGAACCTTTTCTATTTTTGATATCTTAATCAAAAATTCAAAAAATTCAGTAGCGAAATAATCAAAACTGCACGTTAAGTTTAGTACTTTAAAAGTTTGATCAAATATCTAAACTATCAAATTTAAAAACGATATTTAGAATTCTAAAATTTTAATCATTTGGTGAAAATTTCAAAATTTCAAAAATTTGGAATTTTGATATTTTAAAACTTTGATCAAAATTTAAAAAATCTAAAATTTGAAAACTTTTTAAAATTTGGAATTGATAAGTGTTACACGGACCTTGTTAATATGTTCATTTCGAAATAAGTGATAAGATACAAAACAAGACAAGACAAGACAATTTATTACAACTTAGGCACACGTATGGTGCTAATAGAGGATAACAATTATACATTAACAATTACATAATTATACATTTGCAAGCAGGACACACAATAAATAAATTAGCGATATCATACAGTAGAATTGAAATATTCCATATTTGGTTGATTATTTTGCAATATTTTGAATTGCAACGTGAATAAAATTTTATTTTAATACTACATTGTAACATGATATAAATTATGAAAATATCTTTTCTAAATGTCTTAAAAACGTGCACAGTTTTGTTAGAACTGGCACATTACAGTGTGACATGGACCTATGAATTTTAATTGGGAAGGATTTTTTGTGTAATATGTAGGTATATACCTTTCTCTTAATGACATAATTTGTTCATTGGTACATGTGAAAAAATAAGGGTATTCGTCACCAATTGTATTTGAATCGCAGTGACAGCATATACGATCCTCTTGTGGTGTATTTTTCCACCGACCAACTTCAATAGGGATTTTGATATTTGAACATCTAAATCTACTGTAGATATAACGATCAGCCACTTTAAGATTGAGTAAATATTGCTCTAAACAAAACATAGTTTTGTATGACGCATAAAACACACCTCTTGACGAGTTTGTCATATCAGCAAATAGACGCTGTCCGAATTGGTCAACTAATCTCTGTTTTATTTCTTTTTTAATATCCGAACTTTTGATAACACCGTGTGCATTCCAGACAAAGGAAAATCCTGTATCATCTAATATTTTTTTCAGAGAAGATAACCATTTAAATGAGTATTGACCTGAATTATGGAAGTTATACACGAACTGATACAAAATCCCGGATAATTTGCTACTACCGCTTTGCACTAACCTTGACCAAAAACAAAGTAATTTAGTTTAAATATTAATTATTAACGGAAATCTGCCAGTTTCCCCATAGACCATATAATTTGGTGTTGTTGATCTTACATTCAAGACCCTCTTCAGGAAACTTAAGTGCACCTTTTCAATCATTTCAACATTCTCATGACCCCATATTTCCGAGCCATAAAGTAAAATTGGAGAGACCATACAATCAAATAGTCGAAACTGCAGATCTGAAGGAATGTTTACATTTCTTAACTTGTAGTATAATGCGTACAGTGCTTTTTGTGACTTTTCAACCAGTTTTTTCTTTGGTAGATTAAAATTACAATTGTAACTTATTAATAATCCCAGATAATTATAACTGTCCGTGAGCTGTAACTCCTCGCCTCTTAACATAAATCTCAGATTTCTTTGATGCTTCGCCTTCTCAAACACCATTACTTTTGTCTTATCAATGTTTTCATTTAGTTTCCAGTTAGTACAGTATTCATCAAACTTGTTTAACATTCTTTGTAAATCGTCAGCTGATTCTGCCAGTAATATTGTATCATCAGCATATACTAATAAAAAAATTCTAATATACATGCCAAGTTCACTTAGACAGTATTCATTTACCTTTTCTAAACATAATATATCATTCTGAATAAAATAGCTTTCAAGACCATTAATGAAAAGAGCAAATAGAAAAGGCGATAAGTTTTCACCTTGTCTAACTCCAACTTCGCACGGAAAGAAATTTGAACAACCCGAGTTGTGTCTTACACATGATTTGATATTAGAACAGAGGTTGTAAAAAGAGGTTAATATTTTACCTGTTATGTTACTAGAAATAAACTTTTGCCACAGCCCTACCCTCCACACAGTATCAAAGGCTTTCTTGAATGTACAGAATATACGCTTTCCAGAGAGTAAATAAAGTTGAATCAAACAATATAAACTAAATATATTATCAAGTTAGGAGTGACCTTTCCTAAATTCCGCTTGGCTTTTTGAAAGTAATTCAATTTCTTGTGCAAACTTGTCTAGTCTATTATTTAGTATAGCTGTAAATACTTTACCTAAACATGATACCAGTGGTATACTTCGATACGAGTCTGGATCTTTAAGATCTCCCTTATTCTTATAAATGGAATTAATTATTCCCATTGACCAGATTTCGGGTATAATCCCTGTGTCGAATACGAAATTGAACAATTTGACGTAAAAAGGTAAACATACAGACACAGAATTTTTAATATACTCGTTTCTTATCCCATCATATCAAGCGGCTTTATTACTTTTTAAAGTCTTAATGACTTTGATTATTTCTTCCTCAGTAATGGGCCCATTTAAAATCTCATCAAACTCATTAAACTGTAGTTTTGGTAATTGAAACTCTCTCTCTTCGTTTACCTCACTTTCATTAAGCTTCTTAAAATGGTCATACATTACTTCTAGTGAAATTGAACTTTCCCTTTTTTGTTTCGGAGAAAATCTATTTAAAACTTTCCAAAATTCTTTCGGGTTATTTTTTGATATATTACGAAGCTCCTTTTCTGTCTTAAACTGATATTTTTGAAAACAATTGTTTATTTCTTTTTTATATTCCTTACTTGCTCTTTTCAGTGACTTCTTATTATTTATACTTTTATGTTTATTATATTTATATTTTGCCGAGTGAAATTGTTTTCTTTTCAATTTATATGAAAGTAGATACAGGGCGATATAAAATAGCAACATTACAATAGAAAATTATGAACATCCCGTCAAAAGCAGAGGGTCGACTCGAGCGATACATGTATCCACTCTATCAATTCTATTAATAATCATCGCAGATAAGTGATGTAAGTAAATTATGTTTGATGATACGAAGGCGATTGCAAATTGGGAAAATTCTTGTGACTTACCTTTAAACATCCTAAATAAATCAGTATATTTGAGTTTGCTTAACCGGATATGAAAGTCTAATTACAATTGTTTAATCTTGAATGTAAGTATTTCAAATTCCACAGTAATCCCAAACTTCACTAGCATATTCCAAAATTGGTCGTATATGAATTTGTACCTGCTAAATCTATATTTTAACTTACGTAATTTATGTATGTATTTCGATTCATTATGTACAGTGTTACTGATATACATGTTCCATGTTGTATCGTTATAAAAAGTAACTTTATTCAAAAATGATTGTTAAATTCGGTGACTTAAATATTTTGGCCATTAAAATTCAAATTTGGCACTTTAGTATTTGAGAACAGAATTAATACAGTTTTATCATATTTAAATGACATGCGCCATCTTTTTGACCATGCACCCAGTATATTTAGGTATTGGTCTTACAGGTTGTATTTGTGATCTATCATCAAATTTGAAAAAGAGGCATCTGCAAAAAGGTACTTTTGTTTCAATCCTTCTTGTTTTGCTTAATACATTTATTGATAAGGGTGATACTTATACTGTTGTGAAATAATTTCTTCTTCGTTTTAATTACATTATCATTTTGATTGTATGAACTGCAATCACGGCTAAAATGTTTCGTTCATTTAATTTTCTGTATTGAGATTCTGTCATTTTGCCTTTGCGCATGATCGTGTGTCTTGACCTAGTCGTGACATTTAGTCGGAAATACAGACATAAAAGGTCCCGGTTAATAAGACTCACACTTTATATTTATTTATTTATTTTTTTTTGGTGTTTTAACGCCACTTTTAAGCATCACTTTTTGGGCTATTTCGTGGCGGCCAGTTTTTATTGGTGGAGGAAGCCGGAGTGCCCGGAGAAAACCACCGACCTTCGATAGGAAAACTGACAATCCTAGTCAATTAAGATTGGAGTCGAGTGCACCCGCACGAGCGAGGTTCGAACTCACAACCTCAGTGTTGACTGGCTAGTGATTACAGTAGTAACTACTTAGACCACTCGGCCACCGAGGCCCCAACACTTTATATATAGTATGGAGAGATAAACGGAGTTATATTTTTAGATTTAAAGAAAGCTTCAAGTTTGATCTAGTTAATCGAATATGTGAAGTTAGCAGCCGGTTCGTTATTCGATATTCAATATTCAATATCCAACCGGCTGCTAGCAGTTGGTTCGATATTCAAATTTAGTTGAAAATCATAAAAAAATTAAATACTTGATGACATTAAAAGCATGATTTTCATAGTTAAGAGGACTGATAAAATACGTAAAAAATCGTTTAATGACCCCTTCAAGATGTCGTAAATTCTCGTTGCCCTCGAATATAAACCCTTTTGAAAGTTGCATATTTGTTTTTATATAATGTAGATTTTTATCAATAAAACGACTTCAAAGATGTAATTTTATATATGATATTTCTTAAAACAAAAAGAAAAACCGATAAGTCTAGAAAAATTTAGAAATATAAATAGAAATATTTATGGAAAGCCCAAACAAGAAATATAAAGCGTAAACCTACCTGAGACCGTTTAAATGAGGGTGAGACCCCCTGGTCTTTCAATGTCCATAAAATTCAACTAAATCATAGACTCTGTATATATAAAGGTTGTATCAGAAGGATTTCCCAGAATAATGTCATCTTTGATATCTACGGAGGGCTTAGATTGTCACTTTTCAGCTAAAAATTGTCAAAATTTCAGGACAAAGAGCACAGGGCAACGGTGAGAGCCCCCTGATCCCTCAATCTTTCTAATATTATGCAGACATTTAGTTAATAGGTAGATACAAACGCGACTAAAAGGAATTTGGGTAAACTTCCTGTCTTCCATATTTTCGGAGGGCCCAAAGTGCCATCTTGATATTCAAAATATATAGTGTAAACCTACCTGAGACCGCTTAAATGAGAGTGAGACCTCCCTGGTCTTTCAATGTCCATAAAATTCAACTAAATCATAGACTCTGTATATATAAAGGTTGTATCAGATGGATTTCCCAGAATAATGTCATCTTCGATATCTACGGAGGGCTTAGATTGTCACTTTTCAGCTAAAAATTGTCAAAATTTCAGGACAAAGAGCACAGGGCAATGGTGAGAGCCCCCTGATTTAGGTTTTCACTATATATTTTGAATATCAAACTGGCACTCTGGGCCCTCCGTTAACATAGAGGACAGTAAGTGTACCCAAATTCCTTTAAGTCGCGTTTGTTTCTACCTATTAGCTAACTTTCTGGTTAATATTAGGTAGATTGAGAGATCAGGGGACTCTCACAATTGCCCTGTGCCCTTTGTCCTGAAATCTTGATAATTTTTAGCTGAAAAATGACAATCTAAGCCCTCCGTAGATATCGAAGATGACATTTTTGTGGGAAATCCTTTTGATACAATCTTTATATTTACAGAGTCTATGAATTCGTCGAATTTTATGGACATTGAAAGAACAGGGGGGTCTCACCGTCATTTAAGCGGCCTCAGGTAGGTTTTCGCTATATATTTTGAATCTCAAACTGGCATTTTGGGCCCTCCTTAAACATAAAAGACAGTAAGTGTACCCAAATTCCTTTTAATCGCGTTTGTTTCTACCTATTAGCTAACTTTCTGTTTAATATTAGGTAGATTGAGAGATCAGGGGGCTCTCACCATTGCCCTGTGCCCTTTGTCCTGAAATTTTGATAATATTTAGCTGAAAAATGACAATCTAAGCCCTCCGTAGATATCGAAGATGACATTTTTTTGGGAAATTGAACATTGGATATCGAAAGAACAGGGGGGTCTCACCGTCATTTAAACGGTCTCATGTAGGTTTTCGCTATATATTTCTTTTTTGGGCTTTCCATATATATTTCTATCTATATTTCTAAATGTTTCTAGTGTGATCGGCTTTTGTTTTTGTTACAAGAAATTTTAGATATAAAATAACAGTTTTGATGTATTTCTATTATTATTTTTTATATTACATTAAGACAAATATGCAACTTACATAAGCATTGATAAAGGTTTATATTCGAGGACAACGAGAGTTTAAGACAACTTGAAGGGGTCATAAAACGATTTCCTACGTAACTTTTTACTCCTTTCAACTATGAAAATCATGCTTTTAATGTTATAAAATATTTATATTTTTTTTATGATTTTCAACTAAATTTGAATATCGAACCGACTGCTAGCAGCCGGTTGGATATTGAATATCGAATATCGAATAACGAACCGGCTGCTAACTTCACATCCATTAGTTAATCACGTAATTTCATTGAAAAAACTTGAATATTATAATGTTTCAAACTGTACTGACATGTACACTAGACTGGTTTAATTCATACTTGTTTGAACGAATTCAATAAGTTAAGGTCAATAATGACAGGTCTGGTACTAAATACATAAAAACTGGTGTATCACAAGGCTCTATCCTTGACCCGCTGTTATTGATTTCATACATCAATGATTTACCACTAAACATAGAATATTCATTGTTAGATTTATATGCAGATGATTCTACTTTTATTACATAGTAAATGTAATAATATTAGGTGCTAACGGAAGTTGGGGACCTTGGGCATGCTTGATCAAAATTTCTGGGTGGGGTATAGCACGAGTTTTTTAAAAATAGGTCCAAAGTTTGGATATGACCCCCTACCCCACCCTAACTTTGAGAGTTATAAAAAATTTCCTACGGCAGGACAAGGTAAAAATTAATACCCTCTTGGCTTAGCGGCGGAGGTATAAATATACACGAACTTGTATAACAAAATTATACTTACTTGTTTTTTTCGTATCCTTTTTGATTGTACATTCTTTTTCTGAACCTTGTTCATACTTTTTCTCTGGTTCTAGGTGTGTCTGGTAGATCATTGATAAAGTTTATAACTTCAGAAACAATGTCATCAAAAGCTCTGTCTGATGTGCTGTTTAATTTTGTTGTTTGCAAGACACTAGTTATCTGGTTCTACAATGACATATAAATATGATAAAATGTCATTTGAATGATCTATTACAGAAATAATTGACAAAAAATTATTCCACAGTACAGTAATGATGCCCTACTCGCACTATCATTTTCCATGTTCAGTGAACCATGAAATCGTGTCAAAAGCATAATTTGACTTTACAATTTAAAAAGTTCAATTCATAAGGAACATGTGTGTTAAGTTTCAAGTTGATGTGACTTACACTTCATTGAAAACTACCTTAACTATTAAAGAGAAAACTTTCATTTTACTGACAATAAAAATAATAATTAACATTCAGCTGATGAAAAACTATTGAAGCTTCCAAAGCCAAAAAACAAATTTTTTGAAGAAAACTTGCATATATTCTGGTTCTCAAATATGGAACAGTTTACCAAATGAAATAAAGATGAGTAAATCACTTGTATCGTTTAAAGCAAAATGTTACAATTTTTTCATGAAGAAGGCAGATTAATATCTATATAAAATTGTATATTGTGTATATATCATTATAATTTTGTATGTACTTTATATATATGTTATTATTATTTTGAGGACTCTTAGGAAGATTAGTTTAAACAAATGGGATTATCCTCTTGAAATAAAGTTTATTTATTTATTTAACGAAAACCAATTTTAACAGAAGGCAACTGACAACAACCACTGAATTACCAGCTCTTGGCCAGGAACGGGGGACTCAACATGTTGGTAACCATTCAACCTAATTTGAGACAGTGGTTATGACAGCATACCATTAAAATAAACTGTAAAATTCTGCTAAAAAGGGCCTGACTCATGAGATCAGTATTAGTACAAAAACAAATAAAAAGATTCTATATCTACATCTATTTTCAATGTATAACAATCGTTACAATACTGCCTTCATCGAAAATATAAGTGAAAATATAAGTGAAAATTGGAAAGTAAAATAACAAAAATACCGAACTCCAAGGAAAATTCAAATCGGAAAGTCCTTTCTAAAATGGCAAAATCAAAAGCTCAAACACATCAAACGAATGGAAAACAACTGTCATATTCCTGACTTGGTACATGCATTTCCTTATGTAGAAAATGTTGGATTAAACCTGGTTTTATAGCTAGCTAAACCTCTTCATGGCTTCAATGAACATTACATTGAACAGCAAATCTGAGGACTTACCTTGTTTGTATTGGATACCTAAGCTTCACAAAATGCCGTACAAACAACGGTACATTGCCGAGTCATCTTCATTTAGTCTTAGATGCATGATTTTTATTAGTTGTTATTGACTTTGAACTAGCTGTCAGTAACTAAGAGTACTCTCAGATCTGTACTTAGTGTCTTTTTGTTGTTGGGATGTACAAGTACCCGTCCACGTCCACTTTGTTTTTTTTGTTTTTTTGTTAGATGTATTTCTATTTGTATCCATCTGATGAGCTAAGCCTTTTTCAACTGATTTTTATAGTTTGTTCTTATGTTGTACTGTCACAACACTGTCCCAGGTTAGGGGAGGCTTGGCGTCTTCAAACTCGTTTAACCCCGCCACATTCTGTATGTGCCTGTCCCAAGTCAGGAACCTGTAATTCAGTGGTTGTCGTTTGTTGCTGTGTTACATATTTGTTTTTCGTTCATTATTTTGTACATAAATTAGTTTTCTCGTTTGAATTGTTTTACATGTGTCATTTCGGGGCCTTTTATAGCTGACTATGCGGTATGGGCTTTTCTCATTGTTGAAGGCCGTACGGTGACCTATAGTTGTTAATTTCTGTGTCATTTGGTCTATTGTGGAGAGTTGTCTCATTGGCCGTCATACCACATCTTCTTTTTATATCATCTGCATGTTCTACAAAGGAATTGTCCATTACATTGTCAAAAATTCTGTACGCAGTGAAAGAGGGTCTTCAGAAATACTGTGAAACTGTTTACTCGCGTAGTGGTATTAACCATATGTGGATTCTAAAACACTCTTAAGGGTGCACTTTGTAAATACAGCTGTTTCACAAACCACGCCTCTTTTGGGGAGATATATAATATTCATAGATATTTTGTTTTGTTTACCTACTGGTTCCCAGATATGATCTCTATGTTTCATCTCGTAGCGACATAACTTGGGAATGTTACCTGTATAAATACAAATGAATAGCGGCCAAATTGAAATCTGTGGAAGACCCAAAGTGAAGAGAGGGGTAGTACAGAATTTTAGTATAAGTTTAAACTCTAAGAAGTTCGGGGCATATAAATGTTGAAAATATGCCGCACAGCCCTATATTTTGACCTTTGAAAAAAATAGTAGTGCATATAAGCTTTCCATTCTAGGATATATTTTTTTGCGAAACTTCCTAGTGAAAGTGGTAAGTTTTAGCCGTAAAAGGAGTTCCTATGGGAAATTGCATTGTCTAAATTTACAGAATTGCAACCTTTATTGGGTGAAAAAAGAGAACATGTAGAATTTCACCAAATCTGGTTTATCTTCAGAGTCTTAATGAAATTAACTCAAATATAAAGTTTTATAAATATTTCATGAAGATTGAGAAAATCCTGGGCCTTACGATGATGACTCAGCATAAATTCACAGTTTACAATATGCATAGTTTACCTAAAGCCCTGTATCCAAAGTAAATTCATTATACATGCACATTTGTAATTTAAATTGTTAAGGTGCGCAGTGCTTATATTTACTCTTCGCAGTCACTGAAATACATAGATCATTGATAAATATTGTTGTTCTGGTGTTTTTGTCCTGTCGAAAACCCAAAAGTAAGCCGTAACACCTGAATGTGCTTTCTTGTGACTGCGGCATTAAAAAATATAAGCTAGAGATACAAAAATACCTCAATAAAACTAACAATAGTGTGTTCTATCCTAAAAACATACTAAATATTCCATATTCACAGAAACAGCAGAATTATTTTGCAAATTTGAGGCCCCAGGGGCAAAAACAGAGAAAAATCCCTAGCCCCTGGGTCATAAAACAGATAATTTAGCATTATTATTATAAAGGTCTTTTGTATAGAAAACAATATTTGTGCTTTGAATTTATGCAAAAAACAGATTCCATCACTCACTCAGTTCTATAAAACATTTAGTGAATTCATATATCAGACTTCTTAATTCATACATACAATTTTTGCAAGTATTGCTTTGTTTAAACACTTCTAGTCATATATTAGCCAAGTTATGTTAGGTATATAGTAAGAGATAATATTATTGTGACAAGATTTCTAAACTGACCATTTGAGGCAGAAATTGCGAACTTTTATAGATAATAGGCATACAGTAAGATGTGGACTGGAGACAGAGGCAGGATTGGATACTTCATATAATCTTGAATGTTGTATGATTAACTACTAAACTTTACATTTATAGTATTCTGAAATGTTTTCAATTTGTTATCAGAATAGTTTCATACAGGTTCTATGCATCTCATGTCAGAAAACATGCACATAGGGTAAGCTGACATTAATTAAAGTCTTGTTTTTAAATTCTTTAAAAATTGAAACAGGGGTGGGGTATAAAATGTACTGTAAAAGAAAAGTTAGAGCATATGCAATGATTTCTTTTAGGTTATGATTCTGATAAATAACTATTGTTGTGAGAAAAAGTGTTTTTCAAGATTTTTCTATTGAAATGAATGTTTGTATAGGTTTTACTTTGTGAATACAGCTGTTTCACAAACCACGACTCTTTTGGGGAGATATATAATATTCTTAGATATTTTGTTTTGTTTACCTACTAGTTCCCAGATATGATCTCAATGTTTCATCTCGTAGAGACATAACTTGGGAATGTTAGCTGTATAAATACACATAATAGCGACTAAATTGAAATCTGTGGAAGACCCAAAGTGAAGGGAGGGGTAGTACAGAATTTTAGTTCAAGCTTAAACTCTTAGAAGTTCGGGGCATATAAATGTTGAAAATATGCCACACAGCCCTATATTTTGACCTTTGAAAAAATAGTAGTGCATATGAGCTTTCCATTCTAGGATATAATTTTTTACAAAACTTCCTAGTGAAAGTGGTACAGTTTTAGCCGTAAAAGGAGGTCTATATTTACAGAATTGCAACCTAAAGAACTTCTGGATAATTTTAAATCTCGATCTTTCTATGAAATTAATTGTATCAAAACTTTTGATTTTTCAACCCTGTATACCTCAATTCCCCATGTGGAATTGAAAAATCGTCTAAAAGAAATAATCCACAATGCTTTTTAATATAAAAATGGTAGCATACTCTATAAATTAATTACTTTGAGATACCATATAGCATATTTTGTTAATAGTGAACAAAAAGGTAAAACATGCTACACAGAGGAACAAGTGATCAGTATGCTGGAGTTTCTTATTGACCACATATTTGTTGAATTTCAAAGTAGACTTTTTCAACAAATTGTCGGCATTCCCATGGGAACGCACTGTGCGCCTCTCCTTGTCGACCTCTTCTTATTTTCATATAAGTCGGAGTTCCTTCAGACACTTATCAAAAATAAGAAGATAAAAAAAGCCAGACCATTTAATTTCACATTCAGATATATTAACGATGTTCTTTCCATTAACAATCCAAACTTTTCTGATTGGGTTCCATTAATATATCCTCCAGAACTAGAAATTAAAGAAACAACAGACACGGCTTTCGCCGCCTCATTTTAAGACTTATACCTCGAACTTGACATAAGCGGTCATCTCAGTACCAGAATCTATAACAAACGAGATGATTTTAATTTTGAAATTATCAATTTCCCCCATCTTAGTCACAATATATCAATTTTACCTGCAGATATACATTTCCAAAATCATTCAGTATTCAAGAGCTTGCAGCTGCTACTCAGACTTTATAAAACGTCATCAGTGTCTGAGCAGAAAGTTGATGAACCAGGGTTATGTCAAAGAACGTCTCGTCCTTTTTTAAAAAAGTTCATCTGAAGATACCAAGACCTAGTTGATAATTATTCCGTATCAACTTCACAAATAATACATGATGGTCTTGATGTATAGATTCTAGGTACTGACTTTTTTAGCATCTTAATTACGTGTTATATTGTTCTTTGTTTGTCTTTGTAAATGATTAACCTTTTCTGTTTAGTCCATTTTTGATAATATCCTTTTGGCGTGGCTCGGTACTTCACATCCCGTCATTGTATTATTGTGATATGATCATGTTTTGTATTCTTGTCTTTCATTTTTGCTCATGTGCTTTGTCTATATGCCATTTTGTTTTTCTTTGTTGACTTTTTCTTTGTTTTTATAGTGATTAAGATTATAAAACAATGTTGACTGCTGTACCTCTATTTTTTACATTTTTACCTTTTATGTCTGTTTGTTTTGTTCACACACTAGAAGATGCCCGCGAAATCGCGATACAATTTGGCAAGTGTTGAAACAAAGAGTGTCAAGGGTGCCTGTGTTTACACACAAAAAGGGGGAGGAGTCCGGACGTCGGGTGCCTGTGTTTACAGATAAAAAGGGGGAGGATCACTTCGACACGTTCAACGCCCATTTCATTTTGTTTTTTGGACAGTTTTAGAACTGGACAGTTCTGCACCTGAGTAAAAAGGCTGGATGTTGTTAAATTTAGCAAAATGATGCACTTACAATACAATACAGGATCCTTATAGGCATAACTGTCCTATTTTCTATCCTTTCTTCTTACTTAAACTTGGATTTCGCGGGCAGTACGTCGACTGAGCATGCGCGAAAGCGTATAAGACACGGATCGATAACGGTCTCCGAATTTGAATATTTTCTCAAAAATTGGCGTTTTCTGTGGAAAAAAGATTGTTTCAAAGACAAATTTAGGAAGTACAAAACACTACATTGCTGGTCACCATTTTCTAAATAAGGAAAGGCCTGTACCAAGTCAGGAATATGACAGTTGTTTTCTATTCGTTTGATGTGTTTGAGCTTTTGATTTTGCCATTTGATAAAGGACTTTCCGTTTTGAATTTTCCTTGGAGTTCGATATTTTTGTTATTTTACTTTTTTTTTGTATGACAGTCGAATGAAAGTGGACTATTGTACCTGATTTTCATTTTGTATCTGCCTTAACTATTTAAATTCAATTATACACATTATCTAACCTTGTGTTTTCTAATAGTTGTATTTACCGAACGTTAATTGTATAACTTCAGGCTGCTTGGAAAAGGTGCATTTGGTGAAGTTTACCATGGTCTACTTGCAGACGTTGCACACTCAGAAGTACCAACCCCAGTGGCAGTTAAGGTTTGTTTAGAAATATGTAATATTTATTAATTTTATAGAAAGGGTAAGAAAATACACGTCAAAGTAGGATGCAATAAAAAACGCAAAAGCATATACATACATGATCTGATGCTCAGTAGTTGTCGTTTGTTGATGTGGTTCAAAAGTGTTTCTCGTTTCTCGTTTTTTATATTGATTAGACCGTTGGTTTTCCCGTTTGAATAGTTTTACACTAGTAATGTTTGGGGCCCTTTATAGCTTGCTCTTCGGTGTGAGCCAAGGCTCCGTGTTGAAGACCCTACTTTGAACTAAAATGGTTTACTTTTATAAATTTTGACTTGGATGGAGAGTTGTCTCATTGGAACTCATACCACATCTTCTTATATTTATATGAATATACAACTGGTAATAGTTAAGAATTAAAGATCCTTCAATTCAGTTTTTGTCGTTTGTTACTGTATATCATATATGTTTTCGTTAATTGTTATTTTCATAAATCAAGCCGTTGATCTCTCGTTTGAATTGTTTTACATTTTTTCGTGTCATGGCAATTCAAAGCCTGCTATGCAGTATGTTTTTTTCTAACTTTTGAAGGTCGTACGGTGACCTATAGTTGATTACATTTACGTCTATTAGTGTCTAGTGGGTTATTGATCTCATTGGCAATCATACCACTTCTTCTAATTTTTTTATAATGATCGTTTTTAAAATGGTTATAAATTCGTATTTCGGATTATGCTCTGTTATTTTTCAAATACAAAACATCCGTAAATATAATTGTAATTAGAAAAGACAAGCTAATGCCGTTATTGTTGAATAATGAATATGTATATGCGAATGATATACTATAGTTAATCTAATTGTATGGCGAATGATATTATAGGCTTTCGAAAAAATGTTTCCATTATATTATTTCTTTCAAATTCTACTGGAAGAAAAACGAACGAAAAAAAGGTTATATACAATGTAACTTTAAAAATTAACTCCAAAAAATAACCAGGAATAAAAATAAACCTAACAGATACATGTATCTCACTCGGACCTTTTTAACTATATTTTATGAAATAACGATTTAAATGACGTAGCTAATATGCTTGCAAATGATGAGACTAAGTGTTGAAAGGAAAAATTAACAGAAAATACTTGACATTATTTGAACAATTGAGAAAAGAATGTTAATCTTTGAAGTCTCCTCATTTAGAAATATTTTTCTTTGCATTGCTTACTTTGAGGTGTCTCTTTCGTAATTTCAGACATTACCTACATTATGTTCAGACCAAACGAAGTTAGATTTTTTTATGGAAGCAGTGATGTTAAGGTGAGTTACTCGGTTAATTATTCAATTAAAAGACATTTTAACTTTGTGTCTAGTTTCTTTATAATGATCAATTATAGGACATAAGGTGTAAGTGAACGACTTCATTGAATGAACAGTAAATCTTAGATATAAAGAAAAGGCATTCTATTAACTTGCTAATTACTTATCTGTTCAAGAAAAATATACCATCACAATGGATTTATTTTTTTCCATCGTAAGAACATAATGAAGTATTTTTCGTTAGCTATTTTACAATGCATTAACGCTTTTTCAAACCAGGACCCCCTTTTTAAGCTCGGATCGATATGAAGGTACATTTTATTAACAAAAAATCTCTTTATTAAGGAAACCGGTTTGGTGAAAAATATATTTCGTAATATATGGCGCTATTACGGATGTCGTCTTTACAACATAGCTATGTTTTTTATTATGCAATCTATAAAGCCTAAGCATTATTCCACTATGTATAATTTTTACCAACTTATCGTCGGAATAGACAAGATTATTATACTACTACTTATGTGTCAATTAGAAATTCGTGTCTCTGTCCCAATATACTCCCATTTTCCAGTGGCATTCCAAATTTCCCGCCATAAACATCGGACTATCACTATTACAGGACCTACCTATAATATTAATTATTAATTTGTTCTCACAGATATATTCCACTAGACGTAAACCAAACGACAATCTATTCATCCATGAAGTTATGGGAAACATATAATTACATTTGTGTTTGAAATATTTTAGAACTTAATTATAAATCCAATATTTTTGAAAAAAGTGTTTATACCGCGTTTATTAACTTTGAATATTAGTTTCAGATTGAAAGAACATATAAAATAAATATCAAATATGTTTCAGCAAACTAAAGCATCCGAATATAGTGAAGTTTATCGGGATTTCCATCGAAGGGTCATCGATATTACTAGTTACCGAACTGATGGGCGGTGGTGATCTACGTTCATACCTCCGGTGTTTGAGAACTAAGTTGCACGTAAGTAATAAGTTAAAAATACTGGTATATACCCACCTAAGTTACATGTAAGTGATAATTATAAAAAAATGTAAATACCCACATAAGTTACCTCAAATAAATGTTGTACCGATTTCAGTAAACTAATGCACTATGTTTACATAAAAGACATAAACTGTGGTTTTTGAAGTTCAAGCATATTTATATATTATATCATATTAAATATTTTTACGCATTCAAATACATTAAATAAAAAGGACAGGCTCTGAAATCATCAATCAATGTTTAAGCGATATGTTAAAACGGTGTCTAATGACATTAAAAGGAACTGTAAAAAGTTGTACCTGAACCGAACGATACGATAGAAAGTTGGCTTATAAAATAAATACAAGTAATTCATAATAGAAGCTATGAAAATCAAATTTCTATTATAAAATGAACGCTTTAAAGAACAAAGCATATCTTTGACACTAGATTCGATAATTATCAGGTAGTTTCGTAAAATAATTTTAATTCTATATATTTTTAATTCCATATTTTATGGAAAAGATATATTCACTCGCTGTGCAATTGATTGATTTCTATTCCGATACGATGAGCAGTGCACGTTATGTTTACCATTGGCAGTGATATGTGTAACATCTTTTTAAAAATGTGCCATTATTAAACTAAAATACAACTATTTCATGAAATGTTACATGCACCTGTATTTAATCACAGGAAGTAACTCCCCAGGAGCTCATTCTTCTTTGTGTAGATGTTGCCAATGGATGTCAATATTTAGAAGAACATGGGTGTATTCACAGGTAACAGTATTTGAGGAGTCTCCCCCTTGGAAAACCTCATCTCACAAGTATCTACAATAAGGGCTTAGGTTTTATACTAATGACAAAAGAACCCAAAAGCATAAACAATAAAGTAAAACAAATACGAATAAATGGATATCATTAAAAGAAACACCAACCAAACACACTATTTAACAGAAACAGAAAATTGGAGGTGTTGAAACGGTCTCCAATGAAAGGCAATTTTCCATACCATTTCATTGACTACATGTTCCTGCAGATTTTACAATTAAATGACTGCAATTTTAATCTTACTATCAAACAAGCACATGGAGGAGACATCGCAAATGCAAGTATATCGGCTTAAATTTTGTACGTTGGTAAATTTTTTGTACAATTTTTCATGTAAATCTAGATTGCATATAGTCTAGATACGTTTCAAATGGATTTAGCAGAACCTCTCACAATATGCGACCTATTCGTATATGTTATTATATTGACACACTTTTTTTGGCAAATGTATTGTTCATCATGTACTCAAGGCACGTGCATCTGTCATAACTTTACAAAGTACTTTCGGCACGTGTATCTGGAATACCTTCACCAGGTCTCTGGCACGTATATCTGGAATACCGTCACCAGGTTATCTGGGCACGTGCATCCGTATCTGGAATACCGTCATCAGGTACTCTCTACACGCGTATCTTGATTAAATCTTGACACGTTTTTCAAAAATACCTTTAATCAAGTGTCATCGGCACGCGTATCTGACCTACTGTTACATGTATCAGGAACTCTCGGTACGTGTATCTTGAATACCTTTATCAGGTACTCTCGGCACGTGTATCTTGAACACCTTCATCAGGAACTCTCGGTACGTGTATCTTGAATACCTTTATCAGGTACTCTCGGCACGTGTATCTTGAACACCTTCATCAGGTACTCTCGGCACGTGTATCTTGAATACATTCAATAGATAGGTCCGAAAGCTTTAAAGGTGAATGCAAAAAGTAAAATAACAAACATACTCAACTCCAAGAAAAATTCCAAACGGAAAGTCCCTTATCAAATGGCAAAATCAAAAGCTCAAACACATCAAACGAATGGAAAACAACTGTCATATTCCTGACTTGGTACAGGCATTTCCTTATGTAGAAAATAGTGGATTAAACCTGGTTTCATAGTTAGCTAAACCTCTCACTTGTTTGACAGTTGCATAAAATTCCATTATATTGACAGCAATGATCAGAACAAAAACACACAGAGACACCAACGACAGTCTTAAGTTTACCGTACCAGATGGAATTTCATCCTGAATGTTTTATAATAATTGCATGGTTTATCAATTCAATCATTAGAATAATATTACCAAATCTATCAACATTTTGTTTGATTGTATATTGACAACCCATGTTTTTATTATTTTATTTTAGTTTATGTGCATGCGTACTTTGATTGCATTTTAATTACAGAGACCTTGCAACGAGAAATTGTCTTTTGTCAGAGAAAGGTTCAAGAAAAATAGTAAAAGTCGGCGATTTTGGGATGAGTCGTTTGACTGGAAGGTAGATTATTATTATCAAAAACATAAATAACTCATTGTAATTGCATGCAATATTGTACATGTATGATAAGTATTATAGAATAACAGTATTGTAGTTAAAGAGTTGAAGTCGTCAATTGGCGATTTGACGATCGCAAACACAGTTTTACCAGTGACGCGTTTCTTTTCACTTCAAAATATCCCATGTAGCCGTTCACTATCATTCTTAACAAAAAAATTAAATACTACTATATCGACTATAAACTAAATAAATTAGCAATAGTGTGTTTTATAGATCGGGTGTTGTTTTGTTGACATTTGATTTGTTCATTGTTTTAATTAAAATTGTCTGTTTTCCATTGGTCAATTGGCTATTTGACCCTTAAAACCTCAGGCCGACAAGCGAATATTGTGTTACAACCATTCAAAATTGTAAGCCACATATACAAGCAATCTGTATCTGTCAATCTCAATAAGCATGTACTATTAATACACCTCTGTAGATAACATTTCATGATTACATATTCTCATTATTTTCTGAATTTAGAAGCCATTGATTATTTCAGAACCAATTACTACAGAAAGAAAGGTACTGCTTTAGTTCCTGTAAAATGGATGTCACCAGAGGCTTTCATCGACGGAGTTTTCACATCAAAGACTGATGTATGGTAAATAATGATTTCTTTTTTTGTAGTAATGCGTGAAAAGCTTTCAAAGTTCTCATGTGGGCGAGTGATCTTGTGTCATTAATTGATACACCTTATCCTTTTTTTATTGCATAGTTAACAGGATCATGATAAAAGCGATTTTAATTATGTAAAATTTCAATAAATATTTCATTCGGTTTCTGTTAAAGGGAAGAGAGAGTAATTTATAAATTAAGGCGACAGTGTTATGCCGATGTTCAAATGTTGTACATCGATAAAGTGACAAATCAAGGTAGCCAACAATAACTGAAGCAATTGCATTAACTCCAAACAGGTGCGTCGACGGTGTAAGCGTCAACAGCTATGCATGCATCACTTGCCATGCGAAACCACATACAGTCAAAATATCACAATCGACACAGTGACTCATTCTGTAGAATTACAGATCATACGACTTTACTGTAAGCTACAGATCTAAGAAGGCGAAAATATGTGGCTAATGAGTTGATACATTGATACATTGCACATCAACCAATTCGTGATGAAAACGGTAAAATTATGTAATGGAATATCGTATCAACCGTAACACATGTAATATATAAATATAAATACATATATATACGTACTGTTTTAAAGTTGCTACATATCAAGATAAAACATGTCGTATATAAACAAAGGCAACAGTAGTATACCGCTGTTCGAAACTCATAAATCCATAGAGATAAAAACAAATCCGGGTTACAAACTAAAACTGAGGGAAACGCATCAAATATAAGAGGAGAACAACGACATAACAAAAACACAACAATAAAATGTAACACACACAGAAACGAACAATAATATAACAATGGCCATTGTCCTGACTTGGTACAGGACATTTTAAGAAAAAAATGGTGGATTGAACTTGGTTTTGTGGCATGCCAAACCTCCCGCTTTTATGGCAATGTTAAATATAACATTAAAATGACAACATTACATGACATGACTTCAATACAAATAAATGGGAGAACATATAGGACAAAGAAACACACGAATAATAGCTAACAAAAGGTACTAGGTTTAGAATTTAATACGCCAGACGTGCGTCTCGTCCACACAAGACTAACCAGTGACGCTCAGATGAAAAAAGTTTGGAAGCCAAAACAAGTACAAAGCTGAAGAGCACCGAGGACCAAAACTTCCAAAAAGTTGCGCCTAACACGGCCAGGGTTTTCTGCCTGGGACAAGAACATCCTTATTATTTAGAATAATATATACTTTTGCAAACAGTAAATTATATAAAATGACTATATAATAGATATACATGATAAAACCGAAGTGGGGACTATATATGACTTCAACTTTACAACGAAAAACACCAAGCAAACCACTGTTAGGGAAATCATGGTAAGAATCGGAAGCAGTGGAAAATCATATCAACTGGAACATATACACATACTGCTGTAAAATTTCTACGTATAAATGGAAAGGTCACCATCGGAAAATCAAAATCAAGTCATTTGTCAAAAAGTGTTGTTTTCAATGTAAATTTCTTGATATTTATCAAAAATAAAAACCTAACTGTATCTGTTCTATCCTTGTTTTTCAAATTCAACGGGATATTTGCAACCAACATATCAAACACAAGGTTGAATAAATTAATAACAGTACATCTTTTAGCAAGTAGAATATGGAGTTAAACAATGATTTCATCTTCCATTTCGTGAAACCCTTGTATTAAGATTCTCTAAATCCAAAACAGCAACAAGTCAGTGAAAATGAAACAGATTCTGTTCCCATTGGAATGTTAACTGTCCAAAAGTCCACCAAACGTAATACATACGTATTGTTAAAAAAAATTAAAAGGTTGATCATATCGTTAAAAGATTGTTGTTTTTTACTTTAGATATGTTTTAGTTAAGACCAAGGAATGCTTTAAGATAGGATAAAGAAGTGAAATGATTTCATAGCTTTGTAACAGGGGAGAGGCATTTACAGATTTAAGGCATATTGAATTTTGTTTACCATTATTGTCATTCACATCGTCCTAAGAGATGGTCGTTTCAAAGGAAATTTGAAGACAGGTTTTGATTGCTGATGAAATATAACGTTTTTTGAAAAGACACTTTGGTATCCAGTATACATTCTGATGGTTTATATATTTATCTTTTTCACCAAATATAAGGCCATAGAATGTGTCATTCGGTTAGCTCATTGATAAGCAAAGAACAATTGCCGACTACATAATAATCAAACAAAGTACATGTGTAGGCTTTTTCCCTATTTGCATTGTGTTTTTACAAAACTACTACGATAAAAAGTATCAATTCAAAATGCATATTACCGTGTCATTGGTTCGTAACTTTTGTTTCTTTGTTTAGGAGTTACGGTGTTTTGTTATGGGAAGTGTTTTCGTTAGGGCATGTTCCCTATCCTGGAAAGTCAAACGAAGAAGTCATGCAGTTTGTCAAACATGGTGGACGACTTCCGAAACCAGAAATTTGCACCGAGAAAATGTAATGAATTAATTATGACTGTTTAGATTGGACTATTTTTTTAATCACTTGTATGTTTTTATTTCAGCAACTTTTTTCCGTTTTAGTTAGATATTAAAATTTACCATGATATTTTGATTTTGATTTTTTCTAACGATTTTAGCAATAGGAATGAACAATACAAATAATAATATAATATTACCTTTATAAATGTGGTGTTTCAATCAATTTGACGGAATTCCCTGTTGTCAGCCATATTGTTGTAAACTTGAAGGAAGTTGGTACTTGAAAATCAATTCACTCTGCTTAAAATACATTTTTCACTTGAATAGAACAGTTCAAAAAGCATAAGGATTGTCAATTATCGTATCAATTCACTGAATGAGGTGACCCTCATTTTATTTTCTATTAACCAGTGCCGCCTCGATCTATTTGTTAATAATCACAAACACATTGCCTGAATACGGGTGCGAATGTTTTCAGACATTGCATATATATATTAAGACTGAAATTAAAAAACTAACGATAGAACAAGACGAAATTGACGATCACTTCAAAGTCTTGGAAAACAGGTTGAATTAATTAATGGAGAGCTTCATGTCATTCAACTTCCCAAACCTCCCAGGGGTAGAGGCAAATATAACCGATGAGACAAATGAGCGTCTCAAATTTCAAGTGTGGGTAGAAAATGGAAACTTGGTCCATGGGTTTAGGAAAAAGTTGGTGAATTTCCAAAAGTTACTCAAACAATAGTTCTAGTCTTCCCCAGCTACGTCAAAAAAGGGCTTGATATGGATGTAGCTCGGTTGAGAGATATACTATGTACAGCATTATAGTGGTCCAAAAAGGAGACATTATATCATTTTGAGGTTGTCAAGCTTGATAGACCCGAGATAAAATAATTTGACGTCGATTCAAATAAAATTCTCTAAATTTTCAGATATCAGCTTATGAAGAATTGTTGGGCGGATGATTCTGTCTCGAGGCCAAATTTTACAACAATCAAAGAGAAATTATCCAGTATTGAGCAGGTATATCGAACGTATATGTATCTAATAGTTTCGATTGCAAACATCCAAATTCATAAAGGGTATATATATATACAAATCTACATAGATCAGGTGTAGTGACATACTAACCTCTACACGAGATGTTAAATTCAATCTTAATTTGGCTTTAAAATTAGATAGATGTCAAGGCAAAGAGCTAAAGTATTATACTGAGTTGTCTATTTGTGTAGATATAAATGTTTTTTTTTATCTAAAAATCAAGATATTTTACGTGTTACCCACGTTAAAACATATTAGCAACTTGAACTTTCTAATATAATATGACCTTTGTTTTATATTTCAGGGTGATAACACCAGTACATCTAATCCGTATTTGTCAGTGCCCTGTTAACGAAGCAGCACCATTATTTATATCATTCAAAGACAGAAACAGTTAGGTCGAACCTATGAATGTACAGTATGTGATGAACCAATCATATTCTAATTAAATTGAAATATTTAAAATGTAGATACTTCCAATGACGATGATGTCATATTCATTGTATATGTGCCACTGGTGATTTGGCAATCAACACACCATCAATATAGTAGGGTAAACTACGACATTGTTCCATTGATACATTTTTTCTTTTATTAAGTATTTACAATGTTATGAATGTTCGTACATGTGTGCATGAAATGCCTGTTTAGTACTAAAGCGTTGTATTGAAGGTTTCCCCATCGCATTCAACTATACCTGTACTTGACAGAAATAAAACCAAATTTTGTTGTCATAAAGTGCTGAAATATATATATTCTCCGTGGAAATATGGGAATTCTCAGAATAATTGTTGATAACGATATAGTACAGTGCACACTTTATATAATAAAATTAGAAAATTACGAATTGCTTAATGTAAGTAGCAAAATACTAACATATCGTTCCTGTTATGATTGTCCATCTTACGCCATATGAGAACAAATTGTATTCTATGAAAATGAAATTGCATATCGTTAACAGGTCTTCACAGTTTTAAAAGACTGATTTCTTTAGCCATTTATCATAAGAGCCATAAACACGGAATGCATCAACGAATCTTGTCCTGTTGGTAAACGAAGTCCTCCCTATATATAAAAGACAATATGTTGCCCAGTATTCATCTTGATGGTATTTGTATTTATGTGTTTTCTAAATCAGGCAAACTTTTGCCACCATTGAATGAAAAGAAGGGTCAATTAAACTCCCTTGACCATTTTTATTTTACTTTTGACGATTTTGAATATTACAGGGACATTCATGGTCTCGAAGTTGGAAAAGTTTCCGGGTAATTTAATTTATTATCCGGGTCAATTGATTATCCATCTAAAGTTAAAGTACTGTTTCGTTTTGTGTTACTTAACGAAGTTGGTCATGTTCGTTTTGACTTTCTATCATTGATAGTTTTACATGTTTCTCAATTGTCGGTATTTGTTTTTATATATTTAGAGAAATTATTTTCTAAGACAGTGTTGTTAATTCTGTTTCATTGACAGAAATTTCAAAATCAATAAAGATAAAACTGTTATTGATGTAATTATTGTTTTAATATCCGAGGATGACAATTTACAAAAATCTGTTCACAAGAGATTACATGTATATGTTAATTTTGGTGTAGCCCCTGTATAACCACAGGTTATCCGAAGGAGAACGTCTGTCGTAAAGTTGTCACATATATAGACGCCTATATATAGCCACCCGTTACATTGTCCAGGTGATGCAACATCTGGTGACATGTCGATGTCTGGAAAGCTGAAACGTTGCATTTCATAAGCATAACAGTTACTATATTTCCTTAAGTCTCTGACGAAAGTTGAATGTGTATCCATTAAATAAGATAATTTAACAATACTACCTATAATGGTTTACTTTTATATATTGTAACTTGGATGGAGAGTTGTCTCATTGGCACTCATACCACATCTTCCTATATCAGTATTCTTATTATTGGTGTGTTCAAGTCACGAACTTAATTTATATACATATTTTCTAATTCGGTGTTTATTTTTGAAAGAATCTATTTTCACGTAGTAGAAACCAGGTTTGTGTTATTTCCATTGTAGTAACGTGATATTTTTGGTATTGTAGTACAATACTGTTCTCTTGTATATGGATAAAAGAGAGGCGAAAGATACCAAATAAAATTCAAACTCAAGTCGAAAATAAACTGACAACGCCATTGTTTAAAAAATAAAAAGACCAACAGACAAACAACAGTATACAAATCACAACATAGAAAACTAAAGAATGAGCAACACGAACCCAACCAATACTTGATTTCAGGTGCTCCGGAAGGGTAGGCAGATCCTGCTTCACATGTGGCATCCGTCGTGTTGCTCATGTTATTAAACAAAAACCCGGTAATAAGTCTTATTCGGTAGGTCATATTCGGGGAAAAGGGGACGGGATTTTAGTTACGACAATTGGAACATATCCGCTGTCATCTGTGAAACGGATATTCCACAACGGTCAACTTACTCGTGATGGCGTCCGTAAAATTTACAAAGGGACGACTTCAACTTCACCACTTGAAACTCTTGGTTTAATAGCTTCTTTGTGAATAGCAATCCTCTATCAAGGAAATCACGATAGGAAATACAAGCCCTGGAATATCGTGTCAACTGAGAGATATATACTCCGTATGCAGGCGCTGCTGAAATGTTGCTACACAGAAATCGAAAGTTTACAATTGGGAAGCAGAAATCATCTTTTTTGTTGTAAAGATTTGTTTTCAAGCGACCCTCAATGTCAATATTTAGATGTAAGTCAAGATATGAGGTAGACTTAACTGTATCTGTTGTATCCTTTTTCTCAAGTTCGATGGGTTAGATGCGTTCAACATAGTCACCAAATTTTGAATTATTTAGTGAGAGAACATCATCTTTATAGCGGAAAGTAAAGTTAAAGAGTACTGCTAACTTCTTTTCTTTCTTCCTAAGAAGTTCCTGTATGAAGTCAGCCTCATATGAATAAAGGAACAAGTCGGCAGGAAGAGGAGCACAGTTGGTTCCCACTGGATAGCCGATTGTCCTCCAAACGTAACAAATATGTTGTCAATCAAGAAATCAAGTATCTTGATAATGTCAGTTTCAGATAATTTTTTGTTTGAATCAGAGTGAGTTTGTACTAAGTCAATTTATACCTCCCTTAGACAAGATACTTGAATCTACATTGGTCATTCTTTTTTATGAAACAAAGCAGGAGCAACTCTTTCAATTTGTCTTTTAGTTTGGAATGGGGAATACTTGTGTAAAGTGTAGAAAAGTCAAATGTTTTATACTTTTGCCATATGTAAGAGTCTTAGATTGTATGTACTCTGAAAGATCTTTGGAATTTCTTAGTATCCACACCTGATTCACGCCACCTTTAATAATTGATGCAAAAAAATTATTTACGACAGTTCTTTGACTACTCCAGAAATTGCTACAGTATTAAGTATGTGATAGTTTCGATTCCATAACTCAAGGTTAATACATAATTTAAATGGCAAATAACAACACTTGAAAACAGCATCAAATGACAAATATCAAAGTGCATTTAGTACTTCATTTTGAAAAGTGGTCCCTAAAACGTTCAGTTATCCATAATGATTGCATACACGTCACTAGATTTATTTGTACACACACTGAAAGGTACTTGACATAATTTGGTTTCCATAATTATCCGTGTGTAGTGGCTGTTGGTTTGTAATCATGATTTTTATGCATCCAATACTTTTTGATGTTTATTAAAAAAAGAAAAACGTGCTTGAAACAAAGATTACAGACCAGTACTGGACAGAATTTTTCCGTGCTTGTTACTGTTTTATTATCACGATTCTTTTGGATACAAAAAGATACCAAAGGGATATTCAGACTCATAAGTAGAAAATAAACTGACAACGCCATGACTTAAACGAAAAAGACCAACAGACAAACAACAGTAAAAAAAAACACAACATAGAAAACTAAAGAACTAAACCGAAGACTGAGCAACACGAACCCAACCAAAATCTGGGAGTAAATTCTGGTGCTCCGGAAGGGTAAGCAGATCCTGCTCCACATGTGGAACCCGTGGTGTGGTCATGTAAGTACAAACCCGGTGAGAAGTCTAATTCGGTAGGTCACATTCGGGGAAAATGGGAACGGGATTGTAGTTACGACAATTGGAACATAACCGTCGTCATCTGTGAAACAGATGTTCCATAACGGTCCACCAACTCGTGATGTTTACAGAAAACACTGGTAAAAACATATATCAAATTGTTATGATGACAAGAAGAAAATAATCCGATCCACTGTAATATAGGCTTATACACGGAATCTCCATTAAATCTATCAAAACTACTAGTTCAACAAACAAGTTCGAAAAAAGTAGACAAAGTCGTGTAAAAATGGGCTTTTTAAAGCATGCCTACTCGAACACGTTTACTTATAAGCGAAATGATTGTCAGATTTTTACACGTAACGATTAGTGAAATACATTTAAATAGAAACAAAACTAGCAGCCAAGGAGAATGCAGTCCAAAACCTACACTATTCACACCAAAGATATGTCATTGGCATCAATTCCTGATGTAAATATTATATCTTAAACTATATTATCACGTTCTTCAAACGCTTCGAGTACACACCCGATGTAATATACGAATATATTGGACTGGACTGAATGCAACTAAGGTGCCTGAATACTTCCGATTATTGCGACTTTGCATATGCAATTTATATTCACCTGTATCATGAAGGGAAAACACTTACCACCACCAAATGTTAGTTTCCTACGTGATTATCATTAAAATCAAGTTTAAACTATTCCATGATAATTGTATGGTATAGAAGTTGCAACAATTTAAATGGAGCAGGACTGCTTATTCTTCCGATGATCCGGATTCTATGCAATTATTGGAAATTTTCAGACATCTTGGTGGCACTCATTCCAGACACGAGTCCTTAAACTATATTATATAAAGGCAACAGTAGTATACCGCTGTTCGAAACTCATAAATCGATAGAGATAAAAACAAATCCGGGTTACAAACTAAAACTGAGGGAAACGCATCCAATATAAGAGGAGAACAACGACACAACAAAAACACAACATTAAAATGTAACACACACAGAAACGAACTATAATATAACAATGGCCATTTTCCTGACTTGGTACAGGAATGTCGGGCTTGCATTTCCTGTCATGATTTCCTTAATAGAGGGGTGCTGCTCACAAGAAAGCTATTAAACCAAGTTCCAAGATGTGAAGTTGAAATCATTCCTTCGTAAATGTTACGGACGCCATCACCAGTTGGTTGACAGTTCTGGACTATCTGTTTCACAGATGACGATGGATATGTTCAAATTATTGGAACCACAATCCCGTCCTCTATTCCCCGAATATGAGCTACCAAACTAAATTAGACTTATCACCGGGTTTGTGCTTACATGAGCAACACTACGAGTGCCACATGTGGATCAGGATCTGCCTACCCTTCTGGTGCACCTGAGATCACCCCAAGATTTTGATGACGTTCGTGTTGCTCAGTCTTCAGTTGTCTGTTCTGTGTTTTGTGTACCGTTGTTTGTCTTTTGGTTATTTTCTTTTTTGCCATGGCGTTGTCACTTTATTTTCGACTAATGAGTTTAAATGTCTGTAAATTATCCTTCGCCTCTTTTTTTACTTACCTTTCATTTATGTCAAAGCATTGATGAATCGTTGTGCTTTTTGAAAACGTTATGCCAACAAAAACAGTTAAACAAAAGTAAAAAAAACCAACAAAAATATGATATATAAATGTAAATTAAAGTAGGTAAATCGTAATGAGTTATTGATATGGATAACTCGTTTATAACAATTTTAGAAAATGATTACAAATACAATAATAAACTGTTTTTAGAGTTACCTTGGGGCAGGATTATATACGTTCCTAATATATTGCTAACTGTAGATACAAGTAACGTTAGGTTTAACTAGTAATTTAATTTTATGTTTAAGATTGTCTTATCCAATATTTTACTTAACTAGGACTCAGACATGTCCAAAATTGGTCTTGGGACATATCTTAGTTTTAGGTGATGTTTTTTAAAGTGTCTTAAACCATGATAAATTCTAGAATTTATCGTAAAGTAAGGACATCAAAGTGAATGTCTTAAGATGATCTTAAGAATTGTTTTTTATTCTAAATATAATTAGATTAATCCTGTTAACGGTATCTTATGAAATATACGTTGTCAGTTAAATGTATTCTCGTGAAGTTATCGTGTGATACGTACATGTAAAATTTGTCTGAAGAATGCCTCTAACGATTTAAATCAAATGTTACATGTTGAATATAATAAGTAATTGCTATTATTGATTCCCATAAAAAGAGCAAATAAAATAATATGCTGCATATACATGTATGTGCGACGTACCAAAACTGTTATTTTTCAAATATCCCGAGAGCAACAATACATTTAAAAAAAATTTGTTTGCCAATCGC